AAGAGAAAGTCACAGAAGAAGTCACAGGAAAATAGAACAAAAAAGATGACAAAGTTAACAAAGTTCCCATCAGAAATAATGCATAGCAGAAGACAATGAAGCAATATATTTGAGGCACTGAAAGAAATAATTGTCAACCTAGAATTCTTCACCCACTGAAAATATCTTTAAAAGTCAAGTGTGAAATAAAGACATTTTGGACATATAAAAGCTGACCTACAAAGTGAAGAAATACACTTTGTCCATAGGTCAGGGACTCACTGTTATTTAAGATGTCAATTTTAAATCACTGATATATAGATTGAACAAAATCCCAGCAAGCACTTTCTAAAAATTGATAAGCTGATTCTAAAATTTACATGAAAATGCAAATGATACATAATAGACTGAGTATCTGAAAAAGAAGAAACTTGCAGGGCTAACAAGACCTTACTTTAAAAAAATTATAATACAGTAATTAAAACAGTATGTGTTGATATAAAAATAGACAAACAGATCAAAGAAATTTGATAAGAGTTCAGTAATAAACACACACCTAGCTATACAACTGATTTATGACAATAGTGGAAAATAATCAAAAGAATTAATAAAATGTCTTTTTAAAAAACTAGTGCTAGAAAAACTGGATTTTCATATGCAAAACTGAACTTCATATGCATACTTTGTACCACATGCAAAAGTAATATGAAAAAAATCATAAGCCTAAAGGTAAAACCTGAAAGTTCAAAACAAAGGAAAAAAAACTTGGTCATCTTGAGTTAGGCAAATATTTCTTAGATACCATATCAAGCATGCAATTTAGTAAAAACTAGTAAATTAAATGTAATCAAAAAATTTTAAACTTAATCTTCAAAAGATACTGCAGAGAATAAAAAGACAAGTCTCTGCTTAAGAAAATAAATGCCGCAAAATAGATATGAAGGATCTCCTAAAAATTACAAGCAAACAACTCAATGTTTAGATGACCAAATTATGTCAACAGACATTTATTTAAAATGTATGGATGGTGAATAATCACATTAAAAGATGTTGAACACTGATAGTCATTAACGAAACATAAATAAAAACAACAAAATACTGCTACTCACTTTTTGGAGTCACTAAAATGAAGGCTACTACACCAAGAGTTGCCAAACATGTGAAGAAAGTGGAATTCTCATACACTGTTTGTAGGAATGTAATATACAACAACCACTTTGGAAAACAGTTTGGCAGTTACTTACAAAGCTAAATATATAACTATCTACCATATTATCAAGCCATCCCACACCTAGGTATTAACCAAACAGAAATGGAAGCACATATCTTCTACAAACACTAGTACAGAATTGTTCCCAACAGCCTTTTGTTTATAATAGCTAAAAACTGAAAATAACACAAATGCTCCCCAACAGATGAATAAGCAAACATTGTTCATCTATACTGTAGAATACTACTCAACAATTAAAAAGGAATAGATGATTGATACACTCTGAATGAGTCTCAGAATAACTTTACAACATGAAAAAATCCAGACAACAAGCTATGCCTGATGTAGTATTCCATAGTATGAAACTCCATAAAATGTCTACTAATCTATAGTGCCAGAAATCAGAGCCAGGCTTGGGAACTGGGGAGGGGGTGATATGGTTTGGAAGTGAAAGCAGTCACTGAGGGACATGAGGAAATGTTTGGATATAATGGACAAGTGCACTATATTGATGTTTCCATGGATGTACTTGCGTGTAAAAGTTTATCAAAGCGTATACTTTAAATATGTGCAGTTTATTTATGTCAGTTTTACCTCAATAGAGCTGGAAGAAGAGAAAAAGGAGGATCAGAAAGAGAAGGAGGAAGAGAAGGAAGGAAGGAAGAAAAAAAGAAGAAAGAAAAGAAGGAAGGGAGGGAGTGAGTGAGGAAAGAAGGAAGGAAGGAAAGAAGGCAGACAAGAGGAGGGAAGAAAGGGAGGGAGGGAGGAGGAGAAGGGAGAACATGGAAGGAAAAGGGAGGAGAGAAAAAAGAAGGAGAGGGAGGAAAAAGAGGAGTGGAAGAAAGAACTCATTTTTTCACTTTTGTATTCTAGCCAGAACTGGACATCCTTGACAAGAGGGGTCAAGGATGCCGCCTTCCTAGAAATGCAGCCCAAACAGGAACCATTACCACCCTCGTTGGACCTCCAGTAGTGCTCTCTATACCCCAGCTTATAAACTTGAACATCTGAGTTGTGTTCATCACTGGCCCAAATAATCTCTGTCCTCAAAGCCATGGGAGAATTCTCACTGCCTTTACCACTTCCCACCCACAGGGCAGCCTGGTCCTGACTCAGCAGATAGCGCGGGAGAGTTGAAGTAAGAGAAATGTAAACAGGAGGAGTCATCTGGACTCATCCACAGCCACCCTCTTCACAACCACCACAAGGAAAATCGGGCAAAGGAAGTTAGAGGTCGTGGCTCCTGGGCCAAGTTACGCAAACCAAGTTGGCATCAAGCATTGCTTTTGTTCAGAGATTAAAAAGAAAAAAAATCAACCCTCATATAAACAATTCAGAATGTTCTCACCCTTGGGAAACCATGTGGCTGCTTTCCTGGTTTACCCCATTACAATGAGCTCATTTTAGAGAGGCCGTTTCTGAACCAATCCGCTCAAACAGGACCACCATGCTAGCAAGTGGTTTGCAACTTGTTCAATGAAAGCATGAATGGACTAAGGTCTCAATATATAAAAAAAAAATTACCCCAACTTAAAATAGCCTTCTAGACTTCATTTTAACAGAGTCCCTGTCCATTCAGGGACTTTCATAAATAACCGCACAATTAATGACATGTGTTTATCGGCATAGCCACTTACCTGGAATACACAGTGGCTCGTGTTCTCTCTGGGTCTGAAGTTTATTTGTGAGAAAGAAAGACTTGGCCTAAGGATTAAAAATAGAGCAGCAGTATTCAACTGAACTTGCAACTGTTCTCCCAAGGAGCCTCAGGTAAAACCTATTTTGAGCTGAGTTCAATCCGAGGTGTTAGAGAAATCTAGTTTAGCAAGGAGCTTGCAACTACTTTTAAAAATAGACTTAACCCTTCTCCCTTGCAATTCTACTTTGGAAAGACAATTACAGCATTTGATCAGAGCACCCTCTTACACCTATTTTATGTGGATTTATATCCAGAGCATAGTACGTAATTATTACATATCCAGGCCAATATACTAAAATTTTAAGTTATATCCTGTCAAACTCCTGCTTGAGTCTTTTCAGTTACTTCCCATTGCGCTTTTGGTTATTTGTTTTGTTGCATTTTTTTTGTTGTCATGTTTTGTTTTTGAGACATGATCTCACTATGTAGCCCATGCTGGCCTCAAACTCTCAATCCTCCTCCCTGGAGTGCTGAGATTATGGGCATGAACAACCACTGGCCCTACTGCAACTTGAATAAAATCAAAATGCCTCAATTGGGCTATCAAGCCTCAGTATGACCTGACCTGGTTCCTACCTACCTCGGTGCTGCAGCATTCTGACCCAGAGCTCAGATGCTTACACATCCCAAGATTTTTCCCACTGCCAGCCCTCCTTGACCTCACTCTTCCTTCTTGTCCCTATTCTCCTCAAAGCCAGTTCTTCTCATCCAGAGTTCTTGGCTAGAATGTCACTAACTGACTCTTTCCTTTCCATCCTTTGTCACTCTTTGTGCATTTAATTCTTTCCAGAGTATATCTAGCTAAACTTTAGACCTTTCAAATAGGATCTCTTTCTCTCAGTAAAAAGTAAGTTTTATGAGGTCAGGACCACATTTATTTTATTCACTATTTTATCTCTAGTGGCAAATATAGGCTCTGGCATATAGTAAATGCTCAATAAGTCATTGCTGAATAGAGAATGAATAATGAACCATATTCTTATTCATTTGTACCTTACTTACAGCCAACTTCAAACTCCAAAGTCCAACTTAAGTATTCTTCCTCATTCATATCCCCATTTTTGCCTTTCCATAAAATTCTCCTGAACTTTCCATTTTTGCAGTGTTTAGATGTAAGGCATATGAAGTGTCAGAGACACACTTAGGTGCTCAATAAACAGCGATTATAAGCAGCACCACCATCATGTTGTACAGCGTTGTCCTCTGGCTGTCTTTCTCAAACTTCAGTTTTTCTCTTACTGTCTCCATGATTTTTCACAAATTCCCCGTACTGCCTTCCTACTTCTGATTTAAGGAATTTTTATTTGTCACGTTTCCTTTTTAAATTAATGTATTTTAAAGGAATATTTTTATAGAAATTAAAAGCCTATTTCACTGGGAAATAGGAAATAATTACTATAATTAGCATAATGAAAATAAAGCAATATTCTCTCCTTTTTTAAAGAGAGATTAGCAACTGTTAGAAATATGACAACACTAATATATTAGTGACAACATTTAATATTATAACTATAATCTTTCTGCATGATAGTCAAAACAATTAAATTCTTTTAAATGACTTCTTGCCTCCATGAATTATTATTATATAGAGTCATAACTATATCCTTTTGAAATCACCCTACACACTACTCAGACCCTCTGTCATATTGTAATTGGGACTAACACTTCTCACTCGGCCCTTATTAATCTCTACTTTGATTGATTAATTACATGCTATGACTATATCTCAGCTCACAGTCTTACTTCTCTTCACATCCTTCATGATTCTTGGGTCAATGCCTTGTGCACAATATATGCTTAATAGAGTTTAAGTTGGGCCCACTTCTTAGGGGTTTCAACCAACTTGATTAAAAAGAGACTATACTTCCAAACTTCAAAATATTTTTAATAAAGACAGTTTGGGAGAGAGTATTCAGGAGTTCTTCTGATTCCTTTTACTTGTTCCCTTTTGGTTTTCCTCAACCATCTCATCCAGGCCACTGGACTTAAATACCTAGAAAGCCCTGGGAGAGAACCCAGGGTAGGAAATGTGTTCCTTACATATATGCAAATATGTACCTGAAGCAAATTCTAATTTATGAATGAAATAAACACCAAACAAAACCAGAACAAAACTGAATGTGTGATTTATTATATTTAAGATTGGTCTATAAGGCTTAAATATGTCTGTCATAGTTAACAGCAGATGAATGCAACTTTACAAAATCAGTATTTCAATACAGTACAGGACTAAATGTGGCAACTGTGCATTGGAAAATTAATATTTCCTCAATGCAAATATCAAATCTGCAGCACCATTTAGAAGCTTCTACCAAAAACTCAAGCTGCAGTATTTATTACAAGCTCTACTTGGAACACACGACTACCTAAATCAAGCATTAAAGAAAAAACAGTGGAGTCATTCAGGCTTAATATGTCAGATTTGGTATAGGATTAAAATACTAAGTGTTTTTTAATGTCCTGGTTTCAAATTAATAAATACAAACACAATATAAAAATATACACCAGTTAATAAGACTGCACTGCACTGATAAGAAAGTTAAATCTCGCTCTCATACGTATGCAGGTATGTCTTGAGTGTCAGAATTTCTGAATAGCTCCGGCTGGTCTTCCGGAAGAAATCCAGACTGGTGAGATGTTCGATGTCACGCACACGAGCTGTGTGCATCTTTATGAGTTCTTCTACCCATTTCGACTCATCCTCTGAGTTCTGCAATGGAAATAAAGCAATCAGAGTCAGAGTTTTCCAGAAGAGGTTCTCTAAATGGTCATTTTACTCTGAGTCCACAAATGGCCTCTACACATTGCTACACGCAGAGCCAATGCATGTCATTCCTTCCTGACCTTCTTGTCACTCTATTCTATTCCTGCTGGTAATGCACCACAAGTACCTACCCTTGGCTGTCAATATTTTCAACAGCAATTAGCTGTCCCAAATAAATGAGACATGGGGTGTGAGAAGGCTCTGTTCTCAATAGGTCGTCAGAACATAAATCAAAATTAAGAAAACCATAGACCCTGGAGAATATAATAATTTGTTTCTTTTCTGGGCTGTCAAATGCAAGGATGAGCACAGAGCACAAGTAATTCAGAGTGCTCTTCTGCTTCCCAAGAAGAGGAAGAGCTTGTGCCTAATTTACAAAACTATGTGTGTGCTTTCCAAGACACTATATTGACCACATCATCTATTAGTCTGCAATCAATTGAAATTTCAGTACAGTTTGACTTGAAGCGGCTCAGTTCATACATCTGACACTTTAGGGCCCAAGAAGTGTGACTGCGAAATGTGGTTCTACTGCCAATTCCTAGCTATGAGACCTTGATCAAGCTAACTGATCTCTCAAGACCTCACTTCCTCATAATTTCCCAAGGTCAATAATGCTTAATTCAGCAGCTTCCTAGGAAGTAGGAAAAAAGGAAAGGAAGAAAGAAAATAAAAATAAGATAAACAAACATCATGGAAGAAAGAAAGGAAACCTCTTCCTGTCCTAGCTACTTGCATAAGATGGCCTTGATGGCACAAATTTCAAATGAAGGATGTTCAGATGTCCCCCATGGAACAATTTATTTCATGTCTGACTCAAAATTAAAAGGTAAATTGGGTGAAGCAGTCATTTGCATTTTAAAAAGATTTCATTTTGGAGGGAAATTGGGGAAAGAATAAGATCCAAGAGCCCCTATGGAGAAGCACTTGCCTCATTAGTAGAAAGGAGCAAGAGTATCTTTATGAAAGATTTCACCTCTTAATGCCCCTTGAATTGCATTGGTCCCCAAGAATCTTTCTAGAAGTCGAAAGGTGGCTGTGTGTTCCGGGACTAAGAATGTTCAGACATGCTTTCACCCAACTCTTGACCACTAGTGGTCTCAGTGAGCTACCCACCAAAGCCCAAGAACCTGCAAAGGTTTTCTCAGAAAGCTCCAACCCACACAGACCTGGACAGGGAGCCACAGTAGCTTGTGCCAGGGCTAAATATGTACCAGGAGGGTGTTGGTTCAGGAAACTGATGCCTGGCCATCCCAAGCAAAATGAAGAAATGGGAAGAAATTGCTTTGCAGGCTGAAGAACTAAGGATTTTAGTTTTCCAAGCCCTACCCTTCTACCTAACCAAACCAAGATCTCTGCAATTCAAAGGAAAGACCTAAATATAACCTAACCCACAATGCTACTGACCAATCCTCACTATGACCATATAATTAACGAAGTAGGAGGTCCCCAGATGGGTCAGGAGCCCCTCAGAGTAAGCATGAGGTATTTTAGGAGAACTTTCCTATTCTGCTCATGTGTTGGATTTTTCAATGGTCATTCAGTCCAATTTCTTCCTTTGAAAATGCAATCATTTCAATGTGGGGACAGAGAGGAAAGGTGTTTTCTGATTTAAATCATGGTAAGCTGGAATTATAAGAATTCAAGGGGGGTAAAAATCTGTCTTGTGCTACTTTCCTTGGAAAGTGATTTGCCAACTTCATTGAAGGGACATTTCTTCTAGTTCTCACATGCTAAAATCTGGTCTTCAATTTGTCATTAGGAATTACAAGCTACGTTGCACATGAAGGAAATATCTTCTGCCTGATGTTAGCTGGAGACGCTCAGAAGTAATTGCTGATAGAGACTATAGTGCAAGATGTAAAATTAATAGAATTAAAGTTCATGTGCACCAACGTAATAAGGTAAGAAAAAACTTTAAAACTAAATGGAAAAATTAATGCAAACAAAAGCACAATCCATGAATTTGCTTATTATCTTTGTGCTGTGGGTATTTTTATTCTTCACCTGACTTTTCCCCATGCAAATTTGTTGATTCAAGCCCCAGAAGTTTTAAGATAAAGCCCAAAGCAGAACAGGTGTCTATGCAGATAGAGGGCTCATTAATAAAAATGTATGCTGGCTATGAACTGTATAAGAGAGGCCTCAAAACTCTTTAGACTCAAGAACCAGAGGAGGACCAATGGCAATAATAGTAGATTTCCTTTTCCAGATGGTTAACTTAGGTCAACAAGAGAACTGTCTTTGCACTGAACCTGGACCACACTTTTCAAATTCTCACATCACCAAATCCCTAAGGTGACAGTAGAACTTGCACAAATGTACTTCCAAGGAATCTAAATGGTCTATTACACATATGAAATGTCTTTATAGTTTTTGTTTTATCTTAAAAATGCAGGACATTTTTGCATTTTGCTCTATAACATATGTATCTGGTTTTTTTGCAAAAACTGTACTTCCCAACAAATTTTTAGCATGACTAAAGCTAAAAGAAAGTATTATCACATTATACACAGGTGTTATATTTGCCTGGTACTCAAGCATCTGCTCTGTCATTTATAAGCAACCTAAATTAAGAATGTCAAGCCAACAAGTTGACAGCAGTTCATCTTTCACTTGTAGTTTCCTCACTTCTCCAATCATGTCTGGACACCATTGATCCTTCAATAATATTTCTGGCTTTCATTCCTCTTTTTCAAATTGCCAGGACTTCAATATAGTTTAAGTTCTGTGACCTCACTTCTGTGAATCTTGCCAAAGCCTTCTGAAGACCAGTGATAGGAAAAATTCCCTAGTTCTCAAGGTTCTACTAAAGAAATCTGGTGAATTGGAAAAATGATAAGCTTTTGTAATCAGGTGACTTGAATTTAAAGCTCTGCTCTCCTACTGGTTTAAGTGGGAATCACCATATGTAGATGTTAATAATAAAATAATATGTTATGATGCAACTACTGTGCAGCTGCATAACATGTGCCCAAGAAATATTAACTAATATTTCTATTGCTGTTCACACTGTTGTTATCGTACTATTACTGCTACTATTCTATTCTTAAAATTTGATTCCAAGCAACTCCTAAAATCTGATCTCCCACTATTGCCCTCAATTCCAATATTCTGAACAAATTTAACTAGCTTTATAGACTGTTTTTCAAATTTCTATTTTTCCTGCATTCTTTATTTTGCTTAGAATATTAATAGCCCCACTTTAATCCATAATTGAAACTATAGCCTAAAAGCTACATTGCCCACAATAATCTCTGTTGAAGAAATTCTTGTGCCTTTTTTGGCTTTTAGCATGGCAATCTCTGTATCTATTTTATTTGCAAGTTCACACTGTAGGCTGTCTAGAAATAGTAAGTATGTCTAATACACCGTTGTTTCTTTTACAGCATTTTATATAATTTGGGAATTTGAGTACAATGTGTTGACTAATCATCTTCTTCTGTAGATTACATCCTTGCTCTTTCTATTAAGAGAAATGAAAGCATAGAGTATAATTTCTAAAATTTATCTTGCAGGAAGGACTGTCCATCACATTAAAGGCACTTGAAAAGATTATATGATTTGTTCCTGAGTGCTGAATTCATACAGGGCCAGGAGCACATAGCATGGCTCCTATCTTCCTGCCTAGAGCCTTTTCATCATGTCATCCTGCCTCCCAGCTGTCTCCATATGGAAAAAAGAGAATCAGGAGGCATCTGTGCTACCCAAGAACAGGAGAACTACTACATCTCCCTCAAAACTAGTAGCAAAACACGAGCTGAATAATAAAGCCTGTATTCTTCTCTCTCTCTCTCTCTCTCTCTCTCTCTCTCTCTCTCTCTCTCGGAAAAAGCTTTTACTATAGAAATTTTCAATCATCGACAAAAGTAGAGAGAATAATATAATATCCTCCCTTGATTTCTTATTCTGCTCCAACAATTATCAAAAATTTTATTACTTTCTACTTTCTTTTTACAAAATACATATCCATTTTGTGAAGCTCAAAACATGTGGACACTGTCATTATTTGCCCACACAAATTGAACACACAAATAGAACTATATTAAAATTGCATGCACACACACACACACATACACACAGTGAACAATAAATGTCCACTGGAACATCAAGTTCCCATGTATTTAAAAGAAAAAGTCCTGCCTAGGTCCTTCTTTCCATTTTGTTAGATAACCCAAATGCTTTATAATATTTTCTAGTACAATCATGGGAATATAAATTTAGAAACAAAGCTTAAGTATGAAAGCATATCCTGAAGGACTGTGTTTCTGAACTCACATTGCAGCTCTCATCATTGTCAGATCGGTGAGGAAGGATGAAAGAGGACACAGAGAGGGGGCCATCACACTTATCAGCAGGCTGAGTGAAATCTAAGCAGCTGGTGATGATACTATAGTAGTGAGTTGGGACAGGAATGGAACTGCCTTCCACATACCTGAAACAAGAAAGTAAAATACAATTACAAGAGACATAGAACCTTTCTTATTTAAATGGTCACAAATGACTATTATCTAAGTCATTCAAATTAATTCCCACTTAATTGAGTAATCTTTCACTTCTTAGCACCAGCCCATATACCTTTGAACATATATTTTTTTTCTGCCTGGAAATCCCCTTCCTCCCTCCACCTGGAGGAATGAAAAAAATACTCCAGGAAAAGAAAATGGCTTACAATTTAAGAGTTGGAGGCAGAAAATGTTGAACAGATCAATGTTGTAGAAAAGAAAAACTGGAAATATCAATAAAAGACAGTTTGAGGATTTCATCAGGTTACTGTTTTGGCAATGAGGCTCCATTGAAAGTTTTTATGATAAGGAGTGTCAATATTAGATTCATGTTTCAGGAAGATAACTTGTATAGAGTTGTACAAAATAGACCACAGTCATGTGACACTAAATGATAAACTGAACTTGGAAAATAACTCATTCACCAAAAGAAGCACTGTAGATAGAGTGCTAGTGATAAGCCTTGTGGTATATGTCTCCTCCAGTAGAGAAAAAAAGTACAGAAATTTGCAACTTCTTACATGGGTTTCTGCTGTTCCAATTTTAGTCATTTTACCAATATTGAAATTATGATTGAAATAATAATTTTGGCTAAAACTATCATAATTGATCAGTAACAAAATAAATGTATAATTAAGATGAATTTCTCCTATGAGTGGCTGTAAAAGAAATATTATATTTTCTACTTTATTAGTTATCTGTATATTTAAAATACCACTTTATTCTCTAAATCACAATTAGATCGCTCTTATATTCTGTGCTGCTCTCTCATTGTTTCATACATATATAAAATTCAATGACAACGTATTCTGAATTTGTGGTATGTGTCTTATTATCTTCTTCTGTTGACTATGAGTCCTCTGTGAGCACAGTGCTTACCTTATATTTTTATATCCCCAAGAGCATCAAGGAAAGAGAGACAAATACTTTCATTCAAAATCTATATGCAATTTCCTCATGAGATACACTGACTCAGAAAATATAAATACTTCCAAAAGTGTTCCCCAAATAATCATCTTCCCATTGAAGAATTGTTGAATAATAAATGATAATTTTAAAGTATTTTGATATATTTTCTTTTGTAGAGTGGAAAATTGTATTGATTTATGACAAAAATACAAAATTACAGTCTAATCAACAATACTACATTTAATCAAAGTTCCAAAAGAACTGGAGAATTCAAAAAGATTCAAATAAAAAATATTTGAGGGGTATCAACTCTTCTCTGGAACATGAATATTTGAAAAATATCCTTGAGTGATGTCTTAGAACTTAAGCATCACACACTGAATGGAAATGAAAAGCTCACTGTTTGATTTCATCTTCTGTGTCACGTAAGCCATCATAGTCATAGTCAAAAATTGGTCCACTTATCACATTAACTCCATTTCTTTCTGAAGCGTATTTCTTCACCAATACCCTTTGGAAATAATTCCATATCCCTGTCAAAGACAAAAATCAATTCCTCATGAACAAAACTCCTTTCTTTAGCCAAATTCTATCTAAGACGCATTCTACAAGCCAAGAGACAACAGAGATATTGTGATTCATGAGAAGAATCTATTTTCAAGCATTATCTATATGTGTGACAACAGAGATATTGTGATTCATGAGAAGAATCTATTTTCAAGCATTATCTGTATGTGTCATTTGTGAACCAACAAAGGGAAAAATATAGAGCTATGAGACAATGGTAGAAGAATTTAACTTAGTCCAATAAGTATGGAAGGAGTTCCTGATGAAGTTTCTGAGCTGAAATCGGAAGGATAGATGAGCAGGTGTTTCCTAGGCAAAGACGTGGAGGCAGAACATACCAGATACACAACAAGATTACAAAAGAGGAAGTATGGCGTTTCTGAGAAAATGAAAATAAGGAAATATTATGTACACACATATCTAAATGGAAAAATGAGACCTGTTAAAACTATTCTAGGAATGGGGGAAGGTGAATAAAGGAGAATGATGGAGGGGATGAATTCAACAATGATATATCTTAAGAACTTTTGCAAATGTCCCAATGTACTCTCAGTACAACAATAATTTAAAAAATTCTAAATAATAAATTTATAAATAAATAAAAATGTTTTCATGAAAAAGAAAAGGCCTTCCTTTATCTTCTCTTCCTTCATTAGCTTATCAATATGCTTACTTCCAAGTTTGTTTTTAGCCCTAACCCTTCCCATGGAGCTTTAAACATGTTATCTATCCACCCATCTCATAATCCACTTGAATATCTAAGAGTCTTATCATACAAAACATTACCCAAACAGAATTCCTGCTTTTCCATCCCAATCCTGTCTGTCCCTTGCCTTCTCCATCTTAGTCAATGGCCCTCACCCAGATGTTCACGCCAAAATCCTAGGAATTGTCTCTAGTATTTCCATGTGAAGATGTACTGTCAGTGTTATCTCTAAAATGCAATCCAGGAATCCCAGATCTGGCTATCTCTCACCATATTCAATCCTGTCCTAAGTTACCATTCTGTCACAAATGAACTATCATGGAAGACTACTTCCTGTGGGAAGCTCATACTTCCCTGTAGCCTACTCTCCATATGGTAGACTTCCCTTTCTCTCTTCTTTTATACACACAAATACTATCCCCCCCATCCATCCATCTAACCACTTCTAACAATCCAGATGATTTCCCATTCTGTAATTATTACTTCTAATTATTTATTAAAGATAAAAATTCAACTCCCACCCACCCATCCATAAGCTCTGTATGATTTTACTTCCTTCCCTTCCCCTCTCCGGTGCAGGGCTTCCTTCTTGCCCTCCAACCTTGCCAAGCTTATTCCAAAATAAATTTTTATATTTTCTCTTCTTTCTTCCTAGAAACTCATTCTTTGCTTGTGTAAGTCTGGTCTCTCTTCTATCATTCATTTCTCAGTTTCACTGTCACACTCTGCAGTGGATGCCCTTGTCCATTCAGCTCAGTATACATTCTGGCCAAGAGGAGTGGGATGGAAAAGGAGAATAAAAGAAGGGAATGACAGAGGACAGAAAGGGCAAGCAATAAATTGGTTCTCAAATATAGGTTCACTACACTCTTATTCTACAAGGGAGTTGTGAGTTTCGGTCTGTTACTACTTCTTTCCTCTTTTTATTAAAAAGTAGTTAGCCATTTTTCTCACAGAGCTTCTACTATTCTATATCATCTGATACTCTACTCTGGATGAGAATAGCAGAGCAGCCTACCAGAGCCAAAACACCTGGATAGTTATTTGCAATAAAGCAAGCTCACCATCTCTAGCAATAAAGGAAATGCAAATTAAAACCACACTAAGATTCCACCTCACCCCTGTTAGAATAGCCATCATCAGCAACACCACCAACAACAGGTGTTGGCGAGGATGCGGGGAAAAAGGAACCCTCTTACACTGTTGGTGGGAATGTAGACTAGTACAACCACTCTGGAAAAAAATTTGGAGGCTACTTAAAAAGCTGGACATCGATCTACCATTTGATCCAGCAATACCACTCTTGGGGATATACCCAAAAGACTGTTACTCCAGAGGCACCTGCACATCCATGTTTATTGCGGCACTATTCACAATAGCCAAGTTATGGAAACAGCCAAGATGCCCCAGCACTGACGAATGGATTAAGAAAATGTGGTATCTATACACAATGGAATTTTATGCAGCCATGAAGAAGAACGAAATGTTATCATTCGCTGGTAAATGGATGGAATTGGAGAACATCATTCTGAGTGAGGTTAGCCTGGCTCAAAAGACCAAAAATCGTATGTTCTCCCTCATATGTGGACATTAGATCAAGGGCAAACACAACAAGGGGATTGGACTATGAGCACATGATAAAAGCGAGAGCACACAGGGAGGGGTGAGGATAGGTAAGACACCTAAAAAACTAGCTAGCATTTGTTGCCCTTAATGCAGAGAAACTAAAGCAGATACCTTAAAGCAACTGAGGCCAATAGGAAAAGGGGACCAGGAACTAGAGAAAAGGTTAGATTAAAAAGAATTAACCTAGAAGGTAACACCCATGCACAGGAAATCAATGTGAGTCAATGCCCTGTATAGCTATCCTTATCTCAACCAGCAAAACCCCTTGTTCCTTCCTATTATTGCTTATACTCTCTCTACAACAAAATTAGAGATAAGGGCAAAATAGTTTCTGCTGGGTATTGAGGGGGGGAGCGGGAGGGGGTGGAGTGGGTGGTAAGGGAGGGGGTGGGGGCAGGGGGGAGAAATAAACCAAGCCTTGTATGCACATATGAATAATAAAAGAAAAATGAAAATAAATAAATAAATAAATAAATAATAGATGGTTAATAAAAAAAAAAAAAAAGCAAGCTCCTATTTGAAAAACAACAGTGAGAGAAAGATTAAATGTTTACTTGAGAAAAGAAAAAGAAAAGATGGAAAAGCAAGAAAAGGTAGGGGAAGGGGAAAGTGATGGGGAAGGGAAGGGAAGAGAAGGGAAGGGAAGGGAAGGGAACAATAAGAACAATCAAAAGGCCAAACTTGCACAAATGTGGCAATGAAAAAACATTCCCTTAGGAAAGAAAAATAGCAAGCAGCAAGCTCTCTGTGACGACCTTTTCTACACTAGCCTCAGGTAGTGCCATGTGTTTCCTTTAAAACTGGTTGGTCAAAAAGTTCCAGAAAGCTCTGATTTGTGGCAATTAAATGAAGCTGCAGTCCAAGTAATATTGTGGCAAATGTACCTATGTGACATTCTGAAACATTTCTCATTTGGGTCTGAAACAAATTAAGAAAACTTCTTTTAAAATAGACTTTTTCTCTAATGTGCAATAGATTCTATTTTTTTGAATAAACCTTCACTTACTAAGTAGGACATCAAATACACATTTTTTTCTCTAAACAATAAGAGCTATTTCACCAATATCAAGTAGACCTGACACTAACTGACATTCCATAATCACTTGTTCCTATTTTGAGACTCTATTCCAACCCCGAGAGTTTTGTAACAGCCCAATCTTCTTCTGCCAAGTCAAAATAGGAAATGCTTTCTTTTCCAACCTACACAATAAGTATATAGGTCTGCTTACTGCAAATGAAGTAAAAGGAGGTAAAAGCTATTCCATGATGCATTCTCTATCTTTGTATGGATGGATGAGTGCATGCATGGAGAGGGCAATCAATGAATTATTTATTATGAGAACTGGAAAATTGATCATTTTGGTCACTGCCAATGTAGTCATGTAAGCTTTAGAATCCATGTAAGCTTTAATACTCACACAATAAAATCTCTTAATTTTACAAATGAGAAATTAAATGGCATTTTTATGATCAACAAAGCCAGTAGTCATACTTTAAAGACTAGAAACTTGGTTTTGGAGGCCAGGACTTGTTGCATCTATACAATACACAGAATCAATATTACCCCAAAAAATTTATGTCATATACAAATTATGAATTCAAAGAAATTAAAACAATATTTCGACAGCTCTAAAACTATCTGAAATTAATAATCTGATGAATCAGAAGACCCCCTAAGGTCTTCCTGGGTTTCAGGGTCAACATTCAGAGTACATGGGTACACTAAAGAAAGAGAAACATTAGTGGCTTTTTATTGCACTGTTCAATAAATAACTATAATTGCTGCTAAATTACCTCCACAATTTTGTGAAGACCCTTTTTAGCCATCTAAATAATGACCATTAAAATAGAAAGAAATGCAGGTTAGAAGAAAAACGCAAACTTGATTTAGTTTAGCTTCTACCATTTGTGACTTGGGTCACTACTTATGATGTCAATTTCTTGATTATAAACAAGTATCTGCCAACTTCCTTCACAGAACCAAATTTTGGGTCAACAGTAGAGAATTTACATGAAAAATCTTCAAAAATTATAAAAGCTAAACACAGGAAAGGTATTATTATGATTTAAATCAATATAGAGGTAGAAAAGGTAAGTGGTAAATTTAGAAATATTCATTTTTGTAAGTAACAGTTTATTAAGTAAATATTGGACTTACGTTTGAAAGCAGGATACATTGGAACCATATTTGTTACAAGGAATGCATCATATTTAGCTTCTGGTGAAGAGCTCAGATCTAAACATTAGGAAAGCAAATAGTATACATTGCTTACCAGAATCTACATCAACAGAAAAACAGTTTTCTAAAATGGTGCAAATAGAATGGAGTGGACCTACTCTTTTATGTCTACTTATTACCTCCTTTAAAGGACTTTTCCTCCCACTCAATCTCTTTTCTTCATTCAGTAGTGCTCTCAAATTATTTACAGTCCTTTTCTTCGTACATAGTTGTTAAGTCTACTAAGTTTTTTTTGTTTGCTTGTTTTGTTTTTTTTTAGTTTTTTTTTCTACTAAGTATTTTGTAAAAGAATTCCTTGATTACCTTAGTGCAATTTAGACTTTTAAAATGTCAGTAAAATAATGAGAACTAGTTAATGTTTAGATCACCTCTATAGCATTACTTAAAGGAATAATTAATGCCCTAATGATTACTATTTCACTCTCAGATTCTCATTTAATGTAAGGAGGAACAAGAGGTTTCCCTCACACTTTAGAATTCTCCTGGAAAACTGGATTTTTCAAAGTTTGTCATTTGACCGGGCGGGGGTGGAATTCCATAAGAATCCCATAGAAGTTGACATCAGGATCTCTTAAGTGTTCTTTCTTGAAGAAAACCTGAGCTACTGAAACCCTCACTAGCAATTATTACCCTCCAGCACGCACAGGACACCCTCTAGAGTGATCAGAGCCTAATGCTCTATAACTTACAAGGAGGAAAGAGGAATCCGTAGGACATCTGTTTATCATTTTTGTAGGCCAAACAGTTCTGACTAAAACTCGGAGAAACACGAACATCAGGGCGGACGCAATTGGTCAAATGCTCAGGGATGCCAGAGACCTCAGCCTGCAGAGGATCAGAGGCAGTCAGTAATGCCACAGCAGAAACAGCCTAGCAATATGAATGTACTGACAGTAGATTGTTCTATTATAAGTAGTCTAAACTAAGCCCTGCTGGCTTACTATAGCTCACATTCTGATATTCAGAGTTCTTTAAAAAAAAAAAAATCCTAGCCAGTCGCCAGTGGCTTATGCCTATAATCCTAGCTACTTGGGAGGCTAAGATCAGGAGAATTGTTTTTGGAGGCCAGCCCGTGAAAAAAGGTCAGGGAGATGCCATGTCAACCAATAACTGGGTTCAGTGGTCTGCGCCTGCCACCTCCATCTGTGCAGGAGATTGAAATCCAGAGGATATCAATCTAGGAAAGCCTGGGCAAAATGAGAGACCCAATCTCTAAAATAATCAGATCAAACAGGGTTGGAGGCATGGCTCAAGCAGTACAGCATCTGTCTAAAAAGCACCAGGCCCTGAGTTCAGAACCCAGTACCATCAAAAAAGTCCTCATTTAGATAATAAGCTGTAATTTTCAAACTCTTGTTTTGAAGACTAAAGAGCAAAAGTCTTTTCAAAGTCTTAAGTAAAACAATATATACAGCACAAATCCCTCTGTTGAAATAATGAATAGGATTCCACAAATGATCACTTAGAAACACTGTTAGATACAGTAGACATATCCCCTCTAAAAAAGGATAGGTGCATAAATAATGCACACACATATGTATATTTTATAGAGAGACTAAATATGAATGTACAACAAACGCATGCACATAGGTATTCTGCTTTATTTGGGGCAGAACTGCCAAATTCATCTTTCTAATTCTGATAAATCTCATCTTCATCAAACCAAAACTCCAATGCAAAACTTTTATTAAAATACAAGCAAGACGTTGAGCGTTGGGGAGGCTATGAGTAGGCACAAAATTTATAGGACTACTCTGTATTTTCAACTAAATCTTGCTGCTAACAGAAAACTCTTCTAAAAGTTAACATCTACTAAATCAAACAAACCAACCAAACTTGATGACTTCTGGAATAACTCTGCAAAAATCAAGCCGAGTAAAAATGTGGACATACTGATAGGAGATTGGTCTATTATGAAGAGTCCAAACCTAAGCCCTGCTGGCTTACCATAGCTCATATTCTGATATTCAGACTCATTTAAAAAAAAATTCTAGCCAGCCACAGTGGCTCACACCTGTAATCTTAGGTGCTTGGGAGGGTTAAATGAAAGAATTAATATGCTCCCTATAACACTGAACATCTTACCATGGAATTATTAGGACATTTGAGTGAAGACTAGTCAAAATATCTTACAATAGATTAATCAAAACAGAATTTCTTCTTCAGGAAAAAATTAAGACAAACTTCTATTAAGCAAGCAATTATTGTATTGATGCAATGAATGTAATAAACTGAAGAATATAGAACTCAATTTTTTCAATGACCTGTTTGGAAACAGTATATGACGTCCAGAGTGGCATTAAGAATATTTCACTGTAACCACTTTCAAAGTCAGAATGATATAAGATATCATATCTAGTCCGATAGAGCACTGCAGGTCGTCCGTAGAGAAGATGTCTCTCTAGGAAAGAAAATAATAAACTGTGTTAAATGCCTGTGAAACTTTATATCGAATGTTAAAGAAATACTGGAAGACAGTCAAGTTGTCCAAAATTTGCTAGCTTACTTATTAAAACACGGCACCTTCTTAATTTAATCAACTAGTTTTCCCAACACTTTTGCGCTTTATCTGAGCACCCAAGCATGAGTCAAGTTTTGCAGTTGTGAAAAGTATCATGCCATACTACATTTATGTTCATGCACATTTTAGTTTTAGAGAATTTAAAATCTCTATAGCAAGGAAATATTACATAGTAAATTTTAATGTGATGCGGCTGAATAGAAAGCCGATAGGTTTGGATTTTCATAGAATTAAATAATTTGGCTTCTGAAGAGGTTCATCAGGTTAACCAATGATTTAATTAAGAAGAAGGCTCTTTCTTATCACCATTTCCAAACTGCAACTCAAATATGCATAATTTCAGCATAAAAAGTGAGTAGTGAGGAGCATTAAAATAAGCAGCTTTGTCACATGGAGGTAAACTCTTTAGGTAGTAACTTAAAGGAACATGTATAGATAAAATAAGTGGGCATTCAAGAGGGTTCTTTAAATAGAGAAGAGAGAAGTTCACCAGTTACCCAGGAACTCATTTAGGGCCCCCAAATGCAGTCAGACCCCCAACAAGGGAAATCTCTCCTCTTAAGAAAAATAAAAAAGATCTGAAAAAAAAATTTTTGAGGAAAAGAGATGAGAGTTTCATATGCAAACCTTCCACATTCATAATAAAAGCCTGGAGCTTGATCTGCCCACTTTGAATAGACTAAAACATCCACAGATTCTTGGAAAGTAGGGTTCCTATGGACCCAAATATTTAGAGATCGAGGCATAGGCAATTCATAATTTCCTATGTTTTAATTAAAAAACTGTTTTTACTATTATTGTGATTAGAGAAAAATCAGTTCTGGCAATCACTTATTAAATTATGTATACATGTTGCTTTAATTAAACTGTTACCATTCTATGCAAGATGGAAAGCCCTTCTTAGAAGACTTTGCAAAACCCTCCCAAGTAGAACTGCTGATTTGAGGCAGAGTGGCCCACACTCTTGCAATGCAAGCCTCTTCTGGGGAGTTTAACCTCCTAAGCATTGCAGTAAATGTAGAAGCCTTGCTTAAGCTGCCAAATTTGGGGGCCCACCCTTAAAAATTACAACATAACATGACAATATTAAATAAGTGAAATATCATAAACAAATTAAGAGCCAGCAAATCATAACAGCAGTACTTGGGAGCAGTAAACCAACCCAGACTTTCCTTCAAAACTCAAACCAAACCTTTTCTAGGTTCAAAATTTCCATTAACGTTTTCCTTGTTTTCATTTTTGCTGCCTCTGAATCTCTTGGTTTCAGCTGGAAGCAGAAGTATCAAAATTCTTTGAGAAGCTATTCTCCTTTTATCATTTAAGTATTAATGCTTACCTAGCATGTACCTCCAAATTCAAACTGATGCCTAGCCTCTCATCTGTTCCATTAATGAGACAACAAAATTAGCAGTCATGTTTCTATGTGCAACACCCCTCCTTACAACACCCACGAAACAATAGTTCGGATGATCTACCAAACTGTTGGTTCTTCCTTCGTTCAGGTCTTGGGTACCGGGGTTTGAACTCAGGGCCTCTACCTTGAGCCACTCCACCAGCCTTTTTTGTGTTAGGTATTTTCAAGATAGTCTCACAAACTATTTGCCTGGGCTGGCTTTGAACCACGATCTTCCTGATCTCTGCCTCCTGAGTAGCTAGGATTACAGATGTGGGCCACCGGCACCCAGCTGGTCTCCTCGTTTCTTGGCATTTATTCCATTCTACTTCATTCCACAAGGGCTGATGTATTTGCAACACCCTGCTCATGAGCACTGTAAGCAATTCTATGATATATGTAATTGCTTTTCTCTCTACCATCAATAACTTCTCCAGTCTTCTTCACCAATCCAGAAACTTGTCTTCTTTCCAATATATCCATTGATATATCCTCCTCCACCACCACCATCAGTTACTAAGAACCTTCTTTGTGCCAGGCCTTGGGTTGTAGAACGGAGATACTAAGCAAAGGTGATTAAGATAGAGCTCCTACCCACAAAGAGCCCACAGTTCAATGAGAAAGACAAACACGGCACACATCTGACATATAAATATTGTGTATGGGTATACACAAGATGATGAGTGTTAAAAACAGAGGTGAGGTGAAATGAACAAAACCCTTTACATCTTAGTTGATGGCATTGCCCTGGCATTATTTTTAACAATACCACTTTTCACACTCAAAATTGTATTACAAATAATATGGTCGCAGAGTTCAGCCATAATGGAAGAACCATGAAGAGGAAGGGAGAGAGGCACAAGGTTGGCAAGACATCATGAAAAATTTCCCCAGTGAAGCATCTTCATTTCTACTCACTCTTTTATTCTGCATAAATAGATTCAGTTTGTTTCAAAAATATGGACTTCATAGCTTCTAAGCTATTGACACACTGCAGTTTTTTAAACACAGCTGGAGTACAAATATATCATTATCTAATTTACTTTATTTTCAATTGTTACTGAGCATAAGAAAAAAATATAGTGGTTTTGACAACCTCTTAAAAACCCAACCAAGATCCCCAACTGACCCCCAAAAAACTTCCAGAGTCTTCCTAAAGCTTAATAATTTCATCTGAGAAAGAAGTAATCTTTGCAGTAAAAAACACAAATTTTAGGATTCAGAATCAAAATTCAGATTTCACTTTTTCAGTTTAGCTAAGTATCAAAGAATCACAGGTTTAGTCACAGACTGACTCCACTAGTCACCATGACATCTTGGGTGCACCACACATTGCATTTATGTTTAGCTAAAAGCGCCTACTCAGACCACAAAATGTACTTGAATCTCAGATTTACACATGCTAAGATATTCGTCTTAAGATCATACCACAAGCCTCTGCTTTTGCAGTATGTTCCTGTGATTCCTTCCCCCCATGGTGACTTTTAATGTATATAATTAGAATATCCATATTTTTTGTATTTACTTTTCAAAATATTTTTTAAAACTTTAATTAGTACAGTAATTGTAAATCTGTGTGATATTTCAATTTATGTATATAATCCATAATGATCAGGTCAGTGTAACGGGCATATTCATCATCTCAAACATTTATCCTTTGTTGTGTGAAAAAACTAGTGGAACTATTATGTACTCAAGTACGAAAATGGAAAAATGAGACATGTTCAAACTATTCCAGGAAAGGGGAGAGGGTGGATAAAGGAGAATGATGGAGGGAGTGAATTCAACTGGTATATCATAAGAATTTTATGAATGTCACAATGTACCCCCAGAACAACAATAATATAATAAAATAATAAAACCAAAAAAAAAGAAACTCAAAATTCTCTACACTAGTTGTTTTGAAACATATAATTGACTTGTCACACATAGTTACCCTACTGTGCTATAGAGCGTTACAAGTTATTCCAACTGCACCTCTATATCCATGAACCATCTCTGTTCTGTGATTTTTTTTGTGTGTGTTTTTATATTTTTTTTTCATTTTTCTTTTATTATTCATATGTGCATACAAGGATTGGTTCATTTCTCCCCACTGCCCCCCCCCCCTCCCTTACCACCCACTCCGCCCCCCCCCCGCCAATACCCAGCAGAAACTATTTTGCCCTTATTTCTAATTTTGTTGTAGAGAGAGTATAAGCAATAATAGGAAGGAACAAGGGTTTTTGCTGGTTGAGATAAGGATAGCTATACAGGGAGTTGACTCACATTGATTTCCTGTGCGTGGGTGTTACCTTCTAGGTTAATTCTTTTTGATCTCACCTTTTCTCTAGTACCTGTTCCCCTTTTCCTATTGGCCTCAGTTGCTTTAAGGTATCTGCTTTAGTTTCTCTGCATTAAGGGCAACAAATGCTAGCTAGTTTTTTAGGTGTCTTACCTATCCTCACCCCTCCCTTGTGTGCTCTCGCTTTTATCATGTGCTCATAGTCCAATCCCCTTGTGTTTGCCCTTGATCTAATGTCCACATATGAGGGAGAACATACGATTTTTGGTTTTTTGAGCCAGGCTAACCTCACTCAGAATGATGTTCTCCAATTCCATCCATTTACCAGCGAATGATGGGTCAAGCATTTCTTCCTAGACTGGGTTCCTACTCCACAGAATTCCACACACAGCCTTCATTCCACACCCTATATACCTGTTTACAACAGTGTCTCTGGCATTTTGGTACATGCCAAGGTTCTCCAGATACCACATTTGGCAAACTACAAGACAAATCTTTCAAGTGGTGTGGGCTTCCCCAGAACTTACTCTCTTTGTCTTCCAAAGTTCAGTCATGCAGGCTTGAATTTGTGTTTCTTTTCCCTCCTCGGCTTCCTGATTCATAATTCCCACAGAACGGCTAAACTGACTTGGAGCCACATGAAGATCTCTCTTCCTTTTTGGTTTTTTTTTTTTTTTTTTAATATTCACTCTCACAATAATGTGCTCCTAAATTTTACCACAAAATCTTTTTGTGGTTAAAAAAAAAGGTCTTTCCTTTTCCTGTAGCCTTTCTCTTTCTTTGCCTTATAAGCGCTGATACTCATTCACTACCATTTCAACCTCCTCTGGGATTCAATTTGCCACCTCTACTAGTGCCCTGTTCTTTCTCATCTCAACCCTTAAAACATTATGCTGTATTTATCTACTTGCTAACTAACAACAGAACAGTAACTTTATGAAGATGGCAGGAACTCTTTGTTATTCACCACCATTTCCTCCATCCTCAACAATGCCAACAAACAATGTCCTTGGTAAATATGTATTGGTAAGTCAATTATTTTAAAAAGAGTACAGAGTTTCTACATATGACCTGTCTAGTACAATTCTGAGAGATGGAGTAGGCAGATCAGTATCAGCTCCATTTTCCTGATGAGGGAACTGGAGGTTTATTATCTGAACAAGATAATTCAGCTGTAGAGTAGCACCCAGACTCTAGGCCTCCAGTTTCTGCCTCTTTATTCTTTTCCTTTGCCTGTTGGATGGTCTCCAGTTGGATGCTGACTTTGGGTTATTTTCATGGAGGACATATTGTAATAAAGGTTCAACTCAGGCTCTGCCTGAGTGATGTCTGCTAAGACAACATAGCAATCCCTAATGAGGACAACAGTTTGTGTCAAAGCTTCTAGTATTTCAGAAATAACTTCCAAACCCTGAGATGTACTGAAATTCCCTCCTGATATATTTGACCAACACATAGAATAAGAAGCATTTTCAGAGAAAATCACATAGGCTTAAGTGTCATTGTAGAACTGGAGTCCAAACTCAGCTCAGCTCTTTAAAGCTCTGTGACTCTGAATGAACCTCACAAAGTCTTATATCAACCAGGGACACTGCACCGCTTTTTGTTTTTGTGTTTCTGTTTGTTTGTTTGCTTACTTGTTTGCTTTGAGACAGGGTCTTACCCAGGCTTCTCTGGAAGTTACTACATAGCCCAGGCTGGCCTCAGTTTCACAGCCCTCCAGGCTCAACCTCCCTAGTGCTAGAATTACAGGCATGACTCACTATGCCAAACATCACTGTATTGTTAAAAAGATATAAAGCACCAAATTTAGTCTTCACCCAAAGTAGCTGTGGTTGTAGTTGTAGTGGTTTGTAAAGAGTACGTGCTCCCCTTCAATATCAGCAAAGAATATTGGTAGGTAAAGATGACTAAAATTCAGTTTCTACCATCAAATTGATCTTGCACCCTACTATGAATCACAAGTAATTTTTACCAAATATTAATTTTTTTCCAGTTCTCTCCCAAATCACACACATAGACATCTCCTCCCTTCTTTATCTCCAAAAATAAATAAATAAATAACAAAAGTAAGAATCACTTCAGAATTGGAAACAGCTATAGAGATTCCCTCTCACCATGTTCAGAACTCTGCTTTAAAGTTAACATGAATCACTAGTACTTGTCACTTTTTTAGTCAAACTAACTTCTCATTATGTATAAAGAGCCAACAAACATAGGTGTCAAAATGATTTTTAACTTCTTTTCACATGAAGATGATAGTGAGCACTAATTTTATATCAATGTAAATGGAGAAAAGACGAAGAGGAAAATAAATAGTCCAACTAATTCTTACAGTGAAAATTATACCTAGCTACATAGTGCCAGAATTGCCTATTACGAGAGATTTAAATTTTTTCATTTAATTCATTCATTCATTGACCCAATATCACAAGGAAATGAATTCTCATTGCACAATTAGTGCCAAGATTTTAACAAATGTGATCCAGAAACAGTAACCATCATGCAATTAAGATCTGGAAGCAAGTAGTTTAGATCACCATTTTTGAAGACCACGTTTTTCTTCCTGTTCATTTTAGCAAAGAACTTGTTCTATAACAGTATAAATACTTATAGGAAAGTATTGCCTAAGATTAATTTAATATACCTCTTTTGAATATCCCCTGGGTGGTTTTACTATTGGAATGCGTGCTTTCACATGTGTGCCTTGTACAGATGTCTGAGTGATTTTATAGCATATGATATTAAAACAGTCACATACGAATGTACAAGTGCATTATATACTACACATGGCTTATTCTGAAAAATATCAACCACCTACATCTATGTTTTAAAAAAGTAATAACAAAAATACTACAACTTTACACTTGTACAGATCTTTAGGTTTACAAACTGCTTTATAAGCTTCAATACACACATGTGTTCACATACAGTGGTTCACATTCACAAGGGTCTACCCTAGCAGACATTGAGTATTTTAAATCCAGACTGGGATTTATGATGCAGGAAATGTCATAAAAGCCTGAACGTACTCAGACCAAGAATATGTTCCTGTGCTGCTGAAGAAATGACTAAGAAAGTCAACTGGAGATAGAGACAAAGACCAAGAGAAAAATAGGAGAAAGAATTTTGAGTTTATACATATTCCAGAATCTAAACAACAATAAGGAATCCCATAATACAATGATATACAATTATTTTTATTTCATGTAATACTTTCAAAATTGCTCTTGTATCCTTGAAGGATGAGCCCAGTAGGCCATAAGTAGACCAAGGGCATTTGCTACTATTATTCTCCCCTCATATTTGGTGCTACCATTTTGAAGTCCTGGGTTAGAAACTATCAATGGCACAACTGTCTCAGAGAGACCAGAGCAATCCAAGGTAAGCTTTCCACAAATGCGGAATGTTTTGTTTCCACGAAAACACAAAATCTTAATAGCTTTACTGGTATAAAAAGACCTTTGAGGGATACATACATCAAACACTTCTGTTCACCTCAGGGCAAAGTGGTACAGATGTGATGTCACTAACTATAATGCCTTACCCCAACAGTCACAAATTCACAAAGATGATGCCTTTTATTTTCAAGCTCGGAGGTTTGAACCTGCTGTTTGTGCTGAGTTCTGGAACTGAATTTGTCACATAAGCACAATGTCACCAACAAACTAAATGCACAATTTTTTTTCCTAGAAATGTTTTAGTACCATAGAGAATCAGACTCTGAACTGGCAAAAAACATAAGAGTCAATTAGAAGTTATCATAATTAACAATCCATCCATGACTTTTAGAAGAGAAGCATTTCAGTACTATTTCTTTGCTTTGGTGATTGAATATTTGGAAAACTTAAATCATAGATTCCCTACACTTTGATCCTGGCAACATTCCAATTTTGTCTAATTATAATGATACTACAGTCTACTGCAGGTTAGATGTCAAGCATTTTGAATCACTTGTAGAGTTTGTGGAGGACAGGTATAGCTTTTACCAGGGAAGTCCTATCCTTAAAACTGATTTCATCCACTTATATACCAAAGAATCTGTGTGTTCTGTGATCAAAGGGACAAAGGGGAGGGCAGTGATGCAGGGAGGAAGAAGGCAGATGAAGATCTTTATAAAGAGGGAAAACAAGCTAAGTAAATAAAACCTTCTGCTAGTTTCCTTAACCCCTGCTTAATCAGATTGGAAACCACACATGTGATAAACAGAATCATATGTAAGCTAGTAACTCCAGTGATGGTCTCAGGAGAATTTGACCATGTGCATCTTTTCAGCATGACTTGGGCTGCAGTGCATAGCTTTTATCTGATTCTGTAAGACACTCTTAGTCCTTCCCTTATTGTTTCAACAAGTTCTCCCATACTATAGTAACCTGTAGAGAAGCCTCCCCACTCTCTTCTGTTTTCTTGTAATTATGTGGAATTTCAGAATCAGAAGAATTTGCATGATAGAGTGTATTATTTACTGTCATTGTCCATTGCTTTGTGACTTGCAGGATAGAGTGTTAGTGGAAAAAATGTATTAAACTCCACCATCTATATCAGATGCTGTCTTTGGCAGGTGAGCTGTGAATGGAAGTGACAGACTGCTTCACAAAAGCAGCAGTGTTGAATTCCAGTACACAACTCTGTGTGCTGTCATGAACAGGGCAGAATTAAAAGTATACACTTAGCCTATGGTCAGCCTACTAACATTGAGTAAGATGTGTCTTTTATAGTACAAATCACTGAGATTTTTGTGTGTGTGTTATTTCATAAGCTTTCAAGTTAACTAAGACATGCTTATTATCATTATGAATAAAAGAAGAGAAGAATAATTCAAGGAGCAAGATGATCCTTTGTGTGAAGAAGGAGTTCTGATGTGGTGCCTTCTGAGTATCTCTACCTATCATAACATATACACTATTTCAGTACAGAAACAAGCCACTGGTACTTATAATTTTAACTACCATTCCTTTTATAAGAGTTCCCAGTAGCATCTTACTTATGACTTGTCCAGTATTCAATGGATTGTCTGTCTTTCAGAAGGCTTAACAGAAAATGAGGGAAATTAAAAAGCTGGTGAATTTTTTGTTTTACACAGATGGCTTCTTATGTACATAGAATAAACTTTGCCAGATGGGTCTAAAAACTACCTTGCAATACAAATATAAATTTTAAAAAATACCGTTCTTACCCTGGGAAATAAATAATAAGTCTTCAACTAGTAAACAAAATTTATCTGATTGTTTTTGAAACAACCCCTTACCTTCTGTAGACCCTTTTGTATGAAGTCGTTTGTTGAGTTCATCCAGTTTATTCTTCATGTGTGACAATCAGAAAAAGAAAGAAGAATGCAAATCAGAAATGTTCTTTCTCTCCTACACACTTCTAATTAACACCATGCTAAATTCAAAAGAACATTCTAAAGTCTGTCAATATTGTGAACTTGTCTGAAGAACTGCTATTTTTTCTCACATTGACATTCTAAACTCTAATTCCTTACAGTTCTATGTCTGGGAACACCTCCCTTTAATCTCTCCATGATTCTGTTTCCTTTCCTTAAATCCATGGGTAATCATGGTACCAACTTCCCAGGTCGGTAATGGTGATTACTTCGACACATACATGTAAATTAATAATAATACTTCCTCAGCACTTCCTATGAATTTGTAGGTCCACTAAAATGACTCGCAAAACGAATACATGAAATTACTTCTTCCAAAGTTAAAAAGGTAATGAGTCAGCAACTCTGAAAAGAAATGGCTCAGCAAATCTACCATCACTATATATCCTAGAGACTCTCTAGCATATGTGTACATTGCTCTAGCAGTGTTTTTAAGAGTCAGTGTTTGGAAATTACCAATGTTCCTAAATAGGAAAGTGAATAAAATCAGTATGGTGTGTTATACCATTACACATAACTATTAACAGTAAAAATGAGTAAGCTAAATCTTCATTTATTAATACACATAAGTGTATCTCAAAAACATCATGATGTATAAAATAACTGCAGGATTCACATACTATAACAGCATCCATATAAAAATTTATTATGTGCAAAATTATACCATACATTATTTTAGAAGACATACTAAAGATTATCTTATAAATTATTTAAGAGTACATATAGAGAGAGTAAAAGTACATAGGTGTGCATGAGAATTATACACACTATTTTCAGAACACCAGTTAACTCACGGTAGGAAGGAAGTAGGATGGGAGAAGGGACACACAGAACTTCCACTACATCTGTAATGTTTGGTTTCTTATGATTATGTACTGAGGTATTCATTTTATTGACATATACTTCTTCCATATCTAGAACTTTATTGGGTTTTTTTGTTTTTTTCTTAAGAGAAGGAAGATGAGCTCTGTTTGGTTTGTTTTTTTATTGAGAAACCCTAAGACAAAATCAATCTAGAATTTCTCTTAAATGGTTTAACACAAGATATCTAAAAGAATAATTCTTCTCCAAAAGAAAATAAATCAGAGAACAAGATGCAGCTAATTGACTCCTCTAAAATTGTATTGGGATCCCCTTCACAAGATGACTTCATATTGACTTTGACAACTTGACATCCACAGCTGAGGTCTGAGCATGACCCACCTTATAGTAAGTAGTACTATAGTATACTATATAGTAATGCTCCTTGTTCTTGTTAGGAGCAAAAGTAGGAAGGACATAAAATTGAGGGTGGGAGGGGATGGAGTAGAAAAGCAAACTGAATTTCTCCAATGGTAAGTCTCTCAAACTGTGACTCCTAGACTCCTATGAACTCTGGAAGTGAGCAAATGGTAGGGGAAGAGATTGGATAGTAGTAGAATTATTTTCCTTTTTTCTGAGGCCTAATAGAAAAATCACAATATACCTATATAAAATCACCCATACAGATAAGTTAGATGTCCTTGCTTTGAGATGGCATCATATCAACCCTGGGTGGAAGCACTGGTTAATTCCTGTTATTAGAAACACTGACTGACATCTATAAAGGTCTTTGAGCAATATAAAAGTTCAATAATCAAATTATGTTTAATACTTCCATTTGTTTGGAATTTGAAAATGTCCAAACATGGTATGATGGACAATCCCTATTTACAACAGCACCACCCCATTCATATTGCACCTTTCCCCATACTGCCCTGTGTCCTGGAAGGCTGACCTCTAAGGACTGTATTAAAGAACAAACTTGCCCTCTGGCTTCCTGTTAGGCTCCACCAATGGGAGATACCTGTAGGAGAGTAGTGGAGAGAGAGATAAAGAAATTATCCCCCATCTCCCTCCCTCTCAGGTTGTAGCATATTGGCTGCACTCACCTATCAAACACAATAGTTCCTTCCTATCCATCTCTCTCACTGTTTTAGTAACTTGCTCCCTCTCCTCATCTTTCAGGTTTTGGAGGGTGCCTTGCTAACCTCAGCACTTTACCATTCCTAATTGACTTCCATCCACCCTGCCCAGCCTTTATAAATAGTTCTCTCATTAAACATGATCAAAATTATCCCTTTACTGAATCTTTCCAAACCTCTTTGGAAAGGCCACTTGTTTCTTGTCAGGACCATCACATATGATTCATAATTGAGCAAAAGAAAGAAATTTTGGTTGGGAACTGTGACTCCACAGAATAGCAGGTTTTATTCTTCATTCTCTGCATTTGTGCTATCCAATATGGTAGCCTGAGCCACATATGGTCTTCTAAACTTAAAATAATGAAATTAAAATTTTAGTCCCTCAGTCACACCAGCCAGTGGCTCCATATTGGAAATTATTTCCATTATCACAGAAAGTTCTATCAGACAATGTTATTATACCCCCAAGAAGCTCTTTCATGGTAAACATAAATATTATTTCTACCTTTGGCTCTACCTTATCATCACAGGTGCATCCCAGGTCAAAATCAGACTGAAGGTACATAATCCCTGGATAATTCGGTCTGGTAACTTCCTCTGGCATGGTTGGCCTAAAGGAAATTGTACGTAGTAGGTGATTCAAACTTCCATGTGTTCCATTGTTAGGCGCTGGCTTCAACCCCAGGAGATCTGGTTAAAAGAAACAAAAGGATCCAGGTGATACTTAAATATTTTTTGGATGAGATATGGAATCACTTTCCAAATGTCTGTAAACCTGAACACAAATCAGAACTGGATAAAACCAAATTTAGATGGCAGATATCCGCTTTGTACTTCTTGAACCATTCTGACCTCACAATATCTTGCCAGAGCTTCCTGAAATAGCCATGTTCATTGCTGGAGCATGAATACAGAGTAACATTCTCCAAAACAGAATGGAAGAGTGGCACTTACTTAGCATACACTTAGCCTGTGTGTGGCAATCATAACTCAAGGACTATCAGTGTCAGTATCATTGCCTTCCTGCACCTTGCTGGGATTTTTAAATTCCAAATTCTGAAATGAGACTTATAATCAATAAATAACTATAATCTGCCCTCTAATGCACTCCATAAAAGTTTGGGGACAAAAGGAGGCTTTGGCCCTTTGCCTTAAAGTGCCACTGATTAATGAACAGGCTGATTTCACAGTAAGTGAATGGTTGCCAAGCAAGCTCACAGTGACTTGCCTAAGTTGAGAAGCAGGACAGGGGAGAACTAGAAGCCAAGATGGGAAAAGAACCCAGGAGACCCGACTTGAAGACTACCCCTCTAACCACCAGACTGGCACTCCCTTACTAAATAGGAAAAGTTGTCCTCATTCAGCAACTAGAAGCTCAAGGAAGAAAAATAATTAGGAGCACATAAATAGCTGGCCAAGATTCAATCTGGCAAAATTTTAACTGGGCTGCAATGCTAGAGAGGGAAGTGGGAGCAAGTTCTATGCAGAGTTCTTGCTTCATCAGGTCTCTGACCAGCGGTGTCAAACTGTAATGCTATGTTGGATCAGCCAGCCAGCGGCTGCCAACAGCAACACTCTGAAAACTCCCCATTAGTCAACTGTTGAAGGGAGACAAAGAAGCCTTAGAAGGGGATGGTAGTCTGTCCTTTGAACCAATTTTTTTTTGCAGGGAGAGGAGAAGTTCTCAGAAAATAGACACCTCATTTCTTTCTTTGACATTGAGGAAGTTCATATACTAACTGAAGAGTATTTCATTGACTTAAATTAAATAAATGACTTACCACACATAACATTGTAAAGTTCAATATTTTCAAATGGAGGCACTTTAGTCTTGTACTTAAATGTTGGGCCATAACCTACAAAAACAGTCTTCCAAAAGAAAGCAAACAATAAGAGTTAACCATTCCTGGGATCTAGCTACAATGCTTCCTCTGTATAGATACTTGCAACTTCACACACCCTGTCACCCCCATCCCCTCTAAGAACCAGTTTCAATTCATAGTTCTGTGATCATACCTGCATGCTATTGACCTTGTTATCAAATCCATGATCCCCTTGGAAAAAACATTTTCCTGATGGTTTCTTATAAACATCCAAAGGTTTTCTGCATTGAAACAGTTTATGGTCAGTCAGGATTTCTCCTGAAATCATGGTGATAAAAAGCACATCTCAGGGTACAGAAGATCTGTACAAAAGGGCTTTTGAATGCCTATTTTTTCTATTTGAATTTCATCATTCCCATTGCAATGACAGAATACTTCTGTTCATTTATCCTGGTGTCTTTGCTTTGACAATCACCCCAGGATAATAGGGACCTTTGAGCAGAAGTCATGTTGCCTTCCTCGCACCTTGTGCTTATGCTGAGCAAAGAGTTTGTCACAGTTAATGCTTCACCTGCCCATGTGCTTCACTAGCTCCAGGAGTGTTAGATTCTTGGCTATAGGGCCATGTGTGTCTGCTTCACCTCTATAAACCCTCCTAGAATCAGTGCCAAGACTTAGCTGGCCCTTTTAAAATACGGAAGTTTAATCAATGTACAGAGATCTGCATTCTATAAAAACGTTTACATATAAATTGACCTATCAATATAATACACTAGAGTATAACTGAGTGGCCAACTTAACCTATTGGTGACACATTGAAAAAAAGGGGGGGGGGCTTGGCCTCACCTAGACAATATCTCTATTTATAAATATCACTCTCAAGACATCAAGATCATTTTATCTTACCTTTTGTGACAAGGAGACACCTTTTGCATAAGTGTTCTATGGTCCTTTTCCAAAAAAATGTCTTGTACCCACAGGGTACATAACAGTGGAATACAGTGCTTGGGGAAAACAAAAAAATCTAACTGATGTGGTTCCACACTTACAAAAAGTACCTTGGACTTGGGATACTAATATATATGCGAATAATAACTCAATAAAGCAAGCATTAAATTTAAAAGATTTACTGCTAATTTAAATATCTGGCTTTTGTGTACACTAATTTGCTCAGCTGTCACCATCTTTCGCTTAACTTTTGCTCAACTCCCATGTTTTCTTCATGAAATTCTACCAACTGCATCATTTTCTCTCTCTTCCAAGGTGTCCCATACAATAATAGTCCTGTGGAGGACATAGTCAGCCACCCATTTTGGTCACATCTCTGTAATGTTTCCATAAGAATTCCTCATGACTATCCTTCATGATTCCAGTCATACCTGGTCTTCATCTATCTCTCTATAATCCCATATTTTTAACTCTATATATCCCCCTTACAATTACAGAAGGATATTCATGTTATTGTCATATGTCTTTCTAAGGGTTGTTGGTACAAGTTCTTAGAGAACCAACTTTTCTCATTATCTTTTATGCCTTATAAATATTAGAGTTCCTAGCTAGAGTGCATGTCATAGTCATTCAATTTTTGCTATAGACAGATTCACATTTTTCTTAAGAAGAAAGTTTGAGAAAGAGTTGGAGGGAAGGACATTTCTAGGTCATGAAGATGAATAAATCTATAGTGATTAATTCTTTGAAAGTGACAAGAGGCCCCCAGTCGTGTCCTATACCCAGATTCAAAAGCAAGAAATAGTCTCTTTACTCTGGAAAAGTCTTTTGCAGTTCAAAAGAAGACAAACATCACAAATATTTAAAGCAATGTAAAACATGTCCACAATAACAGAGGTTTTAAGATTAACAACATTTTCTGAAGTCCTCTATAAACATTACTACAGGCAAAGTCATGTCAGCCAAGGCCCAATCAGCCCAGTATACTAGGGCAATTTCTCACCAAGTAATACATTTGAATTATTCAAGTAATAAAAATATAAAATAGAATATCAATTCAAAAAATGAAATATACACACAGAGATGCTCTGAGAACCCAGAGAGACACCAAGATACCAACACCTAGAACTTAAGAGAGTCATTTTCTCAGAACTAATTGTTTGTCTAGAACACAAAATATTTGTAAACACAACTGAGATTTCTTTTAATGATGACCAAGAACCTAAAAGTAATTCCAGTTGCCAAAGAGGTGGCTGTGAAGAGCAACAGGGACAGTCACTTGCTAAGCTACCTTGCAACATGCCATCTGCGGTCCACCAATAAATGGATATCTTCAATTCTTCTGTTGTTGGCATAGTGCAAACGTTTGGGAAGGTGCTGTTTCATGTATGGCTTAAAGTGCTGGTCTGGTTTTTTACACTGAAATATAAATGAAAATTGGTCTTTTGATGGAAATTTTTCTAGAAAAAGCCCTAGACCTATTAAAAATTGCTTAGTGAAGGGAGGGGAGGAAAGATAAGAAAAAGTAATAGAGGAGGTGAATTTGATCAAAGTATACTATATACATGAATGAGAATATCAATGAAACTACTGTATACAATTAATATGCACTGATGAGAGAGTGCTAGATATTCTCTCCCTTGAAAGCTGAAGGCAGCAGTAAGTCAAAAAGGGTAGTTAGTGAATAAATGAAATTTGTTACCCCCTATCAAATAATACATGTTGATACCCATCAGCAAGGTATCAGAGAGGAATAGGGAATTTTTAAGATTCATTCCTGACTCACGAGAGTCATAGCTGAGAGCATTCAATCCAAAAGGCCTTCCCAACTGCTTCAAGTCAAGGGCTGGGATGTGGGGTAGGAAGGAAGGGGTAGACATGTGCAGGCTTATCTGATGATGCATTCATGTGTTTTTAAGTCTCTACCCTGAATTGAGGAATAACGGAATGGGGACAGATCTACTTCAAAGAAAGTAAAGATTTGATTAATCATGAATGACTACTTCCCACTTCCAATGGAAGGATCAAATATTCTCAGCTTCTATCATTGCCAAAACCATTAGGGAGAGTGGACTACAGGCCAGACATTTTGAAACTCTTTGAGAAACAGGTGCAGAAGACAACAGGGCAGTAAGGGAAATGTTCCCTTCATTCATGTGGGAGGCAAACACCAGAGGTAAACATGTAGAACCCTCTTGGAGGGCAGAGGCCTGGGTGAACACTTACCGTGAGATTAGCAATAATGACTTTAGGGTCATCTGTCAAAGAGAAAGGGAGGAAGATTTCAAAACACATGACAAAAATCACTGACAAAAGTCATCTTTGCAGGAAAGAGATGCAGTTCTTCCTCAACCAGACCCCCCATCAGAGGACTATCAGTGTTTTGCTATAATCAGATGTATAATTACATGTGGGTTTTTAATATTTCAATAAGTGAGATGCAACTAAACAAGCGGCACAAATCTTACAGCAAACTTCCCTGACGGATCTGGTGTCCTCTTTGGAGGGGATGCCTCCATCCATAGAATAAGGATTCTGCGAGGCAACTTGCTTCAAATGGCGCCTCTGGAGCATAGACTTGGTTTCTTTGCAAATTTAATGTTAGGAACTAAACTGGTCATTTGGGGGCTTTTACTGTAACTTCCTGTTTATCTGCAGATCTTTGAAAAAAGTCACCATCCATTTTAAGATGAATCTTCTAATCCATTGAATTATGCTTTTAAAGGGAATTTTGCTTTCATAATATTGTCATATAGGTCTTATTATATTACAGCTCCTTTTCAGCAATAGGCATACACATGCACGCATCGCCTTGGTTTTCACTACTAGCAAACAAAGACTATTTTAGTCCATACTCTGTACTAGCTTCAGGCAAAACTATGTAAATGATGGCTGTGTATAAACAGGATTATATTGTCTCAAGGTCCCCTTTTGGGGGGATTGTGGGGAAAAAGAGGAGATTGTAGGTTGTTTGGATTTTGTTTTGTTTTCAAAAAATTTGCTTTACTATGTCATTATAGAATCAGTAGAAAAGGAAAGCAGCATTCAAAGGAGATACCAACTGTCAGTGCAGCCCTCCCTGGAATATCAGCACTGGTAAAGCAGGCCGTGTCTGGATCATTTGCTCTTACAATTCCCAGGTTCTGCTGTACAGTAGGTCCTCAATAAAATTTATTAGTAAATATTTGTTCACATTGGTTGAAAATGCATGTCCCCTTTTTGAAATGCACATTCCAAAAACTATTTTTAGAACCTTGTTTCTAAAGCTACAAAATCCAAAGCTAAAATATAAATTTCATTCCAATTAAATTGAGGTTAAATTCTAGCTGCATCTTTTAGTGAAAATGGCAACAAGAACAGCTAACCTTCATAGAGTCCAAACCCTATGCCTCTATCACAGCTTTGGAGGCACTTTCTCTCCGGTCATTCATAACAACCCTGAGAGGTAAATGTTATTAGAATCCTCACTAAGCCAACAAGCTTTAAAAGGTGTGGGGAGGGTTTGCACACTGGAATACTCATGTCTTCTGGCCAAGCAAGACATGCTTTGAACCTCTGCACTCTTTGGCCTCATAGTCTGTAAACCATACTCCTCAAAGAAACCAAACTGAGTAAGTTCATGTTCTTTGAAAATGAAGAGAAATAAATATCATTGGACAATCTCATGCTTTGATATTTCCTAGAGAATTATTAGAAAATGCCAAATACTCAAATCTATGTTTGAGATATCAGTCCTTTAATTCTGAGGTCCTCATCTTTCCATTCTACCTGGTCCCACTTTGTATAAGAAAAGGGTAGTGATTAAGAATCAGCAAATCAGGATTCAAATCGCAGCTCTGACACTGTCACTCTCTGAGCTTTCTCCTTCACCCATCTCTAACTCTTAACTGCTACTGTTTATAAAGAGGATAGTAATACATCTCAAATAGGATTATTGGAAGAATTAAAAAATATTTTATATATATACACATATATACACATACCATTGTCATCATAGTATCATATAGCTTAGACATGATAAACAGAAATCTAAGTTACACACACATGATCTCTCATTTAGTCTTCCCCACAATCCTTATTTTACAAATGAGGAAGCTGAGGCATAGAGTGTTTAAGCAGCTTGTCTAATATCACCCAGTGACTACCGAGGATTTGAACCCTGGTATAGCCACCATTTGTGTTCCTTACCACCCCATTCTACTGTCTTTGTGTTGTAGAGTACAAAGCATTTCATTATTGGTCGTTATTATTTCACAGGCCCCAAGCAAAGTTTTTCTTCCCCCTAAAACCATCTCCCATTGCATTTGGTGATATCAACAATACCTCTCAAAATGAAGTTTTTCTTGCATAAGCCCTGAAATGCAAATACTAAATTGGAGAGGTATGCTGAGGAGTTGCATACAGTCTATGGCAATGTCCAATCTATCCCAAGGGATCAAAGATGAGAGGCCACAGAAGACAGGAAAGGAGATGGAAAAAAAAGAAAGAAATGACATTTTGTTTATTTTACAACGTTGCCTGGAGCTGACCTTGGAATATTTCCCATTTGTGTTGACTCAGGAGGTAATTCGGGAAAAACTTCAATTTCTTCAACTTTGAGCTTAGTATCAATTTCTTATTTCTAAGGCTAAAACCTCTAAGTAATACTGAATTTCAAAATGCACTGTGTCTCATAAAACTATGCACTTCTCCAAACCTGGGTGGGCAGCTCTCTAAAATCTTAGTACACAAACTTAAAAATGGTATATTACAACCCAAACATGTACAACATAAGTGATAAGATTGTTCCTGTTTATTTCTAATCTTTCAGAACAGTTGCTAATCCCTAAGAGCTTAATATTTTCCTGGGTTCTACTAATCACTTTGACAAAGGGGAAGAGCGCCCTTCCACAAGGCTCCTGAGAACTTTCAGGGTCCACCCTCTCTAATTTCAGCTAAGGAACCAGCCTGAACTTGATGCTGAAAAATTCTTCTTTTGTAAACAGAAGTTATGGTTGTAAACATGCCTCAAATTAAGAACAATTTCCACATGGTAAAAACAAGAGCAAATGTTTATAAATACTACTCTGTGCCAGGAACCACTCTAAACAATATACATAAACTTCCACAACAACCTTACGGAGCTACTGTCTTTTATCATCTCTATTTTAAGACAAATAAACTGGGACTTAGAATTCAAATGACTTATTCAAGGTTACTTGGCTAAGCAGTTAGGAGAGTTAGGATTTTTACCCAACTACTCTAGCTTCAGAGAATAAGCCTTTATCTATTCTACTGTATTATTTTAAGAATCAACTTACACTTAGCATTATTGCTAAATTTGGGTCGAATTCTTCCGAGAGTTCCAGGCACTAAAGTAATATCATCCACATTTGTCAAGTAGTTGCTCAAGAACTCAGTTCTATCACATGTGACATCTTCCATACCTTTTGGAAGGAGAGAAGAGAAAATATTTTCAGATAATATTAAAATTAAAATCCTAAGACTTTCAAACAGACACTGAAGAAGACATCCAAGCAATAACAACTTAGTGGAAGGAATCTTCATGAAAGCTGAAAATACATCAACTTGGTGATCATTTTAAGTTATTGAGTGAGAATAGCAAGAATAGCAAGAAGTAACCATGTTTTTTAAAAAACTATTAACAGTCATTATGAAAAAAGATCTATTCATCAAAAAAATACTCTAGATTGCTTGAAACTCTTCCCAGCTCGTGGTAGTATACGTAACTAGAATACACGGTTCTGCATTTTTTACAAAATGTGATTTTCCCATCTCTCCCTCTCTCTCTCTCTCTCTCTCTCTCTCTCTCTCTCTCTAGTAGAACGCCTATCCTGAGTATATAATCACCAGTCCCTATTCTGTCTTCACTGGTGGCCTTGGACATTACTGACAAAACAATACTGGCAACAAGAGATGAGAAAGAAAAATGTCAGTTCCAATGACCACCCAAACTGAGAAACAAAATAATGCTCAAAACAAGTTGTAAACAATGTAATTAGTCAGAACTGAAAGCTAGCAACTAAAGCACAGAAAGGGCCTAGATAGGGAATTTTGTTTAAACAATCAATGTTCCTCTCTCACACTAAAATTTATTTTTTTGTCCTCCATCAATGAAAGTTTCTTGATCAATAGTGTGAAAACTAATAAAAACAAAAACAATCTCAAATCTTAGAATCACAGACTACAGACCTAGCTGGAACCTTTATTCTCATTTTTAGAATTTATAAAATGGCATGGAATTATGGGGAGTTGATACCCAGTAATCCCCCCACATACAGCATTTCAGATTCCATGGTTTGGGTTACCCAGTCAACATAAGTCCAAAATACTAACAAAAAATTTCAAAAATAAAGTTTTAAAAATTGCCACTCTGAAAAGTATGATGACATCTCTTGCCATCCTGCTCCATCTCACCCAGAACATGAAACTTCCCCTTGTCCAGAATATCTACAATGTATTTGCTACCTACCTCATGGTAGTTGACCAAAAGAAAGAGAAAAACAACATTAACATAACTTGTATTGTAGTATATTCTTGTAATTGTTTATGACAAGTTGTTGTTAATTTCTTACTTGGAGGGGGCGCTGTTTTTTGCTCCCTCCTTGTTAGAGTGAGCTTTTTCTTTCTCAATCCTGGTTATTACTGAACCTAACTGGGCTTAACTGGGGGCGACTGGAGATTCAGAAAAGACACAGGATAGACAGACAGACAGAAAGTGGGTCAGGTGTGTTGGGCACTTGGGTGGAGACGCCCAACCCTAATCGCTTCTTTTCTCTCTTTATTCTTTAAGGCCTTACTCCTTTACAGTTCTTTAAAACCTTGCTTCTAAAGTCTTCTTTAAAATCTTGCTTAAAACCCCTTTCCTGAGATTGCACTGTCCCATGTTTTCACTTAGTTTATCTTTAGCCTAATCTCTCTGAAAGTCTTTTGCCCCAGGCTTGCAGCCTTTAAAGAAAAGCATTTTCTCTTCAGCTTTCTTAAAGCCTCGGTGCTCAGACTTGCAAAGTCTTGGTCCTCTATCTTGCACTGTCCCGTGTTCTCTTTGGCTTTTCTTTAGCTTCTAAGGCCTATGTTAAAGTTCTTTCTTTGGCTTAGTTTTCTAAGGCCTATGTTATAGTTCTCAGTGCACACTTTCTATCAACCCCTCTTTAGCCATACTTTTTCCTTCAGCAATTTCTCTTTAGCAATTCTTTTCCGTTCCAAAAGCTTCCCACACCAAAAAGCCCAAAGCAAAAGAACCAAGCAAAAGCCCCCGCAAAACCTTCTAAAGCAAAAAATCTCAAGGCAAAAAGTAAAAAGCTCCCAGCCCTCCTTCAGTGGGCCTTTTATAAACAGCGGCAAACAGGGTGGAACAGAGGCTCTCGGGGAGGGGCGTGACATTATAAGTGGAGAAACCTGCGTTCCTGTTTCTCTGAATGCAAGCTTAGGAGAGGCAGTTGTTCTGCTTTTTTCTGTTTCATGACCGGGGCTGTGCCTATCTCGCCCTACAGGTAAAAGCAACTAAGCTGCATCTTGCCTTGCTTACATCCAGTTCTCATAGGCTTTTCATAATCAGCTCTCCACATTTATTGTGCCTAACTTGTAAATTAAATTTTATCATAATTATGTATGGATAGGAAAAAGACATAGTATATAGGATTCTGTACTATCCTCAAGAGAAATATATCCCCTTTGGATCAGGGGAGACTACTTACTGGCTTGCTTAGCACAACCCAGTATACAAATATTTTCCAAGAAGATAAGTGATTCTGTAAAGGATTCCCTAAGTTTTGTACTAAAGAAATATAACCCAAAGTGACTCAGATATGATAAAATTTAAATGATCACTTCCTGGGTTTTCAGATCCATACCCCCCACACTTTTTTTAAAATACAAACTGGAATGAAGAGAGAGAAAAACATATCTCAACACATCACAAGTATTGTATATCTTGTCCTTTAACATGGTAACCCTCAGGAAGAAAAATTAAAATAATAAACAGCTACTATGTTCTAGTACAATGTTAGCCCAGGAAGTGATTGTCTCCAAATCATTATGAATAGAGGACTAGAAAGATCTTGCATTTGTTAGATTTTTAGACAGTCACTTCTACTACTCTAGTGGTAAACAATGTCCCTTACTTTCAGAGACCATCAGGCACATTGGCTGAGTGCTTCTCCAACATCGCCATTCCTCTACCTCCAGATCAACTTTGCCTGAGTGAAGTCAGTTTCTCATTATACAGATGACACTCAGGGAGGCCACATAACATGTATAGCATCAAATGGCTCTTAAGAATCCATAGTGAAATTTGAGCTCCACTAAAATGCATTTTGACTTCAAAGCCCATGCCTTGAAACACTAGGCCACATACTGCCTTTTAAGAAGAGATGCTGTAGCTCCCCAGAACCAAAAGGATCTCCTCCTTTTAGAAGCCTGCACACTGACAAAAGGTTTTAATCTGTACATGACCTTTACAGTGCTTCAGCACGTGACTCACTGGGACAATCTATTTCCTAGATGTCTGCCTCCAGCATGTGGAAAATGCTTTCCACACTTCTGGTCAACTTAAATTGAATCAGCTGTGTCATATGCTACAAATTCTCCATCCTGCTTATAGCTAGCCACCTATGACATGATTTTGCAGAGGGTAATATTTAGTCCCCTCAGGGAAAGCAAGTTGTTCATCATAGCTTTTCTTTCTTCCTTCCTTCCTTCCTTCCTTCCTTCCTTCCTTCCTTCCTTCCTTCCTTCCTTCCTTCCTCTCTCTTTCTTTCTTTCTTTCCTTCCTTCTTTCTTTCTTTCAGTTTCTCATAAATCTTCAAGGACATTCTGGAAAGAAAACTCCAGGTACAGGGGTATGCAAGGGAGATTCACCAGCCATTCTAAACAGAACTGCAAAAGAGTCAATCAATTTTCCAATTCTTGTCTTCCAAACTCTACTATAAGGGAGTAGCCCCAAAATCCAAGGTCATTATTTCACTTTGATAATTCTGGAATATAGGGAGCTTTCTCTAGTACTCAGTCTGCATGTCGGTGAAATAAGAATGCTCTATGAGGCCCCCTGAGCTGTATAATTATATAATATTCATGATGTTCTTGATGTCCTCAAAAAAAAGGAGGGGGCCTTAATTTTTCTATTTTATGAAGTGATTTAGAAAAATTGCCTCCTAGCCAAGTACATGTTTGTAATCCTAACATATGAGAGGCTGGGGCACAAAGACTGCAAGTTCCATCCTGGGCTACATAACAAGATCCAGAGAGAAAGTGAGAGAGGAAGAGAGACAGATAGAGACAGAGAAGAAAAGAGGAGAGGAGAGGAGGGGAGAGGAGAGGATGGGAAGAAAGGGGAAAGGAGAGAAGAGAAGCCCCATTTCCTACACTGCCCCATCCTCTTGCTTACAGTCTTCTGTATTACATCAGGCCCTCTGGTTTGGACCTTGAATTCCCCAGTGAATTCTCGGAAACCATTTGACTTGTATGCCACATCTTTGACAAGAACCCTACTTCTCTCCCTTCTTAACATACTTAGATTTATCTGTTAATCACACAAATTCTGTAAGCTCTTTTGGGGATGTGGTTCACAGTGACATTTGATTATCACCTGATGCCTTGGATTCACAGAGGAAGTCATTAATATCAGAAATGAAGTGTTTGCAATATTTTAATAGGAGACAAATTTTTGTAGAAAGGCCTTTCCTGAAAGAATAAGGAGATGTAGAAATCCTGCTTTGAATTCAAATAAACCCAGGATCATCTGAGCTTGTCTTATACTATTGAATCATGACCTAATTTCTTTCCCTGTCCCAAAGAAAAGAAAAAGAGATTAATAATAAACCTTGTATTCTGAGGACAAGAGTTCCTAGGGTCCCTTTCCTCCACACCCTCAGAAACATCTATTTATCTTTTTTGTTGTTGCTGCTGCACCAGGGGTACATTGTGCCATTTACAAAAGTTCTCTTACAATATATCCAAAATACCCTACCTGAATTCACTCTCCTCCATCATTCTCCTTTATCTCCCCCCTCTTCCCATTCCTGGAATAGTTTCAACAGGTCTCACTTTTCCATTTTCATACATGTGTGCACAGTATTTGCACCATGTTCACCCTCCTACACCCTCTCCCCACATCCTCCCCTCTCCAAGCCCCCAAGCAGAACCTGTTCCACCCCCCTGTTCTCTGATTTTGTAAAAGAAAAAAATGACATTTTTGTTTATTCAAAATAACTATAAGGAAGTTTCCTTATGACATTCCCATGTATTTGTTTATTATAATCCAAATTGGTTTGTCTCCTCTATTTTTCTTTCTTCTATCTTAGTCCCCTTCTTATGGTGATTTTCAACAGGTTTAAAAATTCTATATTCATTTTTGTATAGGAAATACATCAACCATATTCACCTTCTTAACTTCCTTCTTTCACCCTCCCTCTCTCATATGTGACCTTCCCTTCGCTGACCTGTTTTTCACAATATTGCTGTATTTGCAAAGAAAAAATAAAGCTTTACCGTGATCTCCAACAAAGATGACATTTACACACCGATGCAGCTTGAGTTGTTTCAGTCCATCCATTAATTGCCCCACAGTTTTGTCAATTTCCCTCAGAGGATTTGTCATCTGGAAAAAAAAAAGAGAAGTTAGTCCTCTCAGGTTTTTTATTTTATATGTTTATTTTTACCTTTTGGTTTCCATAGCTCTAGCTATTAGAACATTCTGGAAAGAAAATTTCAGGCACAGATGCAGAGCTTTGTCTAGAGGAGATTTTCCTGCCATTTTTAATGGAAATCTGGTCTAAGCACTTTATTCTTTCACGAGAATTAAAACTGCTCCTCATCCAATCCCTTTCAAGATTCTTTGATATAACAATATCAGAAATATTACTAAGATAAATTCTTTTTTTAGAGATAAAACAGCTTCTCCTAAATGTAACATCATTTAAATGCAAGAGATTCAACAGTGACCAGAAAGTCAGATGGATACCTTAAGCCCTTTTTTGCCTGTGTAAAATCTCAGTAGGCTTTGAACGATGGCAAGAAGATAGTGGCTAAGTAAATCAAAAGCAGTTCTGAGGTTAAAATCATAACCTTTCACTGGGCAATAAATTAGAACATCATCATTACTTCTGCAAGCAATAGATTATTAATGGAAGAAGACAGTCTAATAAACAAGCTACTGCTTTTCAAATTAGTTCTTTTCAATCCAAGTTTAAGTGAAATAAGAATCTTCAACAACCCTATGTTAAATAAAAATGAACTGAGTTTGTCCTAGAAGGCTTCCTAATTAGTCTAATGAAATACAAAAACTCAGTTCTCTGAAGAGCATTGCCAAAGCCTAAGAACCATAATCCATCTCTTGTTTTTGCTTCAAATGGAAGTCTAACAACATGGGTAATCCCACATACAAAGACTCCTCAATGTCACTTCTAATAGTGTAATAGAAAGATCTTAAAGAAACATTCGATAGCACTTTAGATTAATTTTACAGCCTAGCGAGCCATCACCCAATACACTCAAGATAACTAAGACAAGAGCAGAAGAGATGAATATCATTTTTGTTAATATATAGACTATCTTCCATTGGCATCGCCTCAGATGATTCAAGACCTTGCCTCATATTATTTCATCAATGAAATCAGGTGGAGGCTTTTATTTCTTCATGACAGGAGTATTTAAAGACCTATCCCAAAGAGTAGATTACAATTCAAAGGTTTAGAATGAGACATGCAGTAATAATCTGAAGGAACCAACAGATGTGGGACTAAGTGAATTTGCTTCTGAGAAAACTGTGCTCTCCTCCAAGACATTTGTGTAGACAAAGAAGTATGAAATGCATAACACATGCTGATCCTTGGCAAGGACTTATTTTCCTTTACTCAGCAGGACAATTCAGGTAAAATCTAAAACCTCCTTCTTAGTGATCAGATCAATCATAAATAAGACACTGCCTCAGAAGTATTTGAAGGTATCAAGAAAAGTGACAACTAACGGCTCCTCTGAATATACTAGAAAGAGTAAATATTACCTCATTATGAGAAAATTCATACCACTCTGCCCATTGCTTTCTCTTACATTCTATCTCAGCTGTTCCTTTATCCGTACTCTAAGACCTTTCCTGATCGCTCAAAGTACAGACCACTAATCTATATCAACTTTCTATTGAGCTCTAATATATATCATTTTTTAAAGTCACATCTACTACCTCGTGGAATTATTCTCAAGAATCAGAGTCCCAACCCATTGCACCTAATTCTGTGCATAAGTGCAAGAAAAACCAATAGAGTTCTCTTCACAGTCACTCCAGCCTAAAGGTCAATACTAGTTTGGGGGCAACTAACTCTAAAAAAGGTAAAAGGCTCCTTTTTTCTGTCATGTTGAAAGTTCAGGAAGTCTTCACTCAGTGTTAACCTCTGAAGTATCCAATTCTCCTGGATTCAAAGCCAATTTTCAAACCAAGGCACCAAAGGAAACCTTCAGCTCAGACCTGCCCGCCACAAAGCTTTGGAACAATAGATAAACTTACTTTGTCCTGATGAGCTTCCGCTGCATAATGATCCATCCTATGTAATTTTCTTCTTCTTTTCTTTGGAGGAGCAATTGGTCTTTCCTGTCTCCTCTTAGGGGCAACTTTCCTCTTAGGTCTCTTAGCCGGAGTAAGAGGTGAGCCATAACTACTCTCCTGTACTGGCGGATAGAGATGTCTGGACTCAGAAGACGTCTCTCCCTCTGGGTCAGGTAATAAACTCATACTTTCCCAGTTGAGGACAGCAGAGTCTTAGTTGGAAAAACTAATTCTCCTGAACTCACAACACATCAGTTGAGAGATGACTAAGGAACCTCTATAGAGAAAAACCTCCTAAATGGGTCTCGAGGCTGTTGCCACAGCTTCTTCGTGAGAACATGAATATATTTTAGGAGTATCTAGTCATGTGAGCTTCTTTTGGCTGAAAAGCCTACTTATGGTTATAGCTGAAGATGATATTAGAGAGATTCTGTATTCCATGACTCCTACATTTGGGAGATACTCGTCCTTGGTTATAAAAAGCTCTCCATGTATAAAACACTAGCTTACAACCAAACAGAATGATAGTCATTTGGTCATCTCAAGATAACAAAGAGTTCATGTAAGTGGTTCCACATCAGAAACTGATGATATCTATCTGTTCACACCACCAAATATATCAGGGAACTGTCATCCTCAGTGGCAAGGATCAGAGGAAAAATTTTAAACCAAGGATGAAATGAAACAATAAGCAATCCTCCTTGGTCCTGATGTACTTGCACAAATCAGGACTTTCAGCAGGAGAGAGAACTTCTCACTGACAACTGACGTTTCCAGAACAGAGGAACTCTAATATAAGTAGTGCTGTATTTTTAGAAATTCTCTTTGAAAATTAGCTAAAATGTGAAAAGTCATCCGAAGCTCTTTGTCTTGGTACATAGACCAAGAAAGTCTCTAGATACACTCTTGCTATCAGAAGTCCCTTGTTTGGGGGGAATAGCAGTGCTATAGGTTTTGTTTGAATCTAATGAAGAACTCCAAATGCTGGAGAAAATCCAGCCCCTGATTTGCTGATGGTGCAAAGGTGAATTAAAGCAGCAAGCCCTGCTGTCTACCTAGCTACCTTCTCTCTTGCCTGGACTGTTCCAAGAGCCATTCGGATGCAGGCAGGGGCAGGAGGAGGAACAATGTTAGTGTTTCCAAGAAGGAGGACATCTGCCATGCAGCTGCACTGCTTCCAGGGCAAGCGACTGCAAGGATGCTTCTGTTTCTGACTCACCCTCCTTCTCCGGCAAAGCGATCAAAAGACTCAGCCCCACAGACTTTGCTTTGGTTTGGTTTCACTGCTTCTAGTTTTAGGCAAATCTCCACGGGAAGAGCAAGAAAAGGAAAAGAGGGATTTTCCATTTCATGGTCACCAAGTACATTCTGCTAGTGCTCAAATCTGCCCATCAAACACGAGGCCATTTGCAAGAGACTTCAACATTCCAAACACTCCCAAGGCAAGCCCATCTGATTGCAGCAGGTTAGAGTTGCAGAAGAAGTAGGATTTAGGCAAACTGAGTTTTCATCCAGTGATTATAAATGCACGTATTTCCTTCTTCAAATGTTAGAGGTAAATGAAAGCTAAGTTTTCACTGACCAGCCACACTTTAGCCTGAATTTAGACATTTCAGCCTGAGATTATTAAGAGGGGGGGAACTTTCCTGCTTTTCAGAAGGATTCTTTGCCATCTGAAGGTAGGGACCAGCCAGCCAAAGCTCTGCCTCTAGGCCCAGAAAAGCAGCCCAACAAAAGGTCACAGAGAAAGCAAAGAAAGTCAAAGAGAAAAAGATTGCGCCAATAATCAAAAGCAAGCACACTTTTAAACATTCACCATTACACTATGAAACCAGGAGCAACACACCATTTCATGAAGCTATTGGCCCAATGTTAGCTGATCTCACTTAATAGCCTTTGATGTTACTTTATCTTGAAAAAAAAAAGTGTACTAAAAGATTAAGCATGGAAAGCACAAACTTCAATTGAAATCATCTTGCCAGGCATATAGCGTTTTGCTCGATAGAAACATCTCACTTAAATTTCAGATGAAGTTATTTTTTTCATTATATGTGAAAGGAACATATTGCTGATTTTAAAATACATTTCAGCTAGTATGTATAGTTGTTTCATGCATGATGAAAGTGTATGGTGATATAGGCAATATAGGTGTGGCAGCTAATCAGCTATGACAGAAGAGAGGTTTTGCTGATCTGTTTGGTTTCGTGTTTTAAAAGTATAAACTATTAACCGGTGGAGTGGATCAAGAGGTAGAGAGCCTGCCTAGCAAGCTTGAGGCCCTGAGTTCACACCCTAGTACCACCAACAAAAAAAAAAGTGTAAACTATTTTATTTGGTTTCACTTTTAGTTAAAATAAATTTCCTAAAAATAGTTGAAATCTGAAAACATTTCTTTCTTTATGAGAAAGTAAACAGGTTATCAGATAACAATTACTGAAGATAAACTTTAAGGTATCCAATTAAGAGTGTTTACTCAGTAGATGCATGAAAAAACTCCAGTGGCAAGAAGTATTAGTACTAAAAATAAGATAACATGAAGAGTTCCAAGTCTTAATTCAAAATTACTATAGAAAAAAAATATGAATATTCACGAGCAGTCCTGGACAAAGAAACTATCATTACAGCAAATTAAGTGTTGTGCTTCATTTATTCATTGTTCAGTACTTAAAAAAAAACTTGTATCTTAATTAAAATGCATACGCATATACTTTAAATAGGTCATTGGAAGTGAACTACACATATCAGAAATCCAAAGATGCTTATGGATACAGATCATATTTTGCTAAGTCATGTAACTTAAGTTATAAGGTAAGTTATACATTATCTATATTGTTAAAACCACTTTTGTCATAAAGAAAATGCCATGTGTGATTTGAACATAGTCATTTAGGGACCACTTTGCTTATTCCCTGGACTGAAGGAGGGTTCAATGATTCCAGCAGAAGGACTGTAGTCTGGGAATCAGAGTTCCGAGGATGTCTCCAACTTTTCTACTTACCAGCCAAGTAGCTTGAGCAGCCCCAAACTTCTTCAAGTACTAGCCTCCTACTTTTAAAAGAATAGCTAAAACCAATACCAATCTCTGTTTTGCCTTCCCTCAGGGTCTTTTAAGTGATATAATTCAAACAAAGTTGAACTTGTAAATAGAGCACATGGAAGTGCTTGTGAGGATTTTTTTTTAACATTTTAATAAGATGTGGTTCCTTTTGTTCACTTTAGAATAATCTCAAAGAAAGTCATCCTAAAGATAAAACAGCTATTCTTGCTTTGGTTTTCTTTCCTGGCAAAATAAGATTTGTGTTTCATGTATGCAGATTAGAAAAGGAGCTTCAGACTTATATGACTTCAGTGATGTAAGACAAATTAAGAATGGTTTCACATAGCCTATTAGTTTCTAGTGCTTAGAAAAAAAATCTCTGACCACTGAATTGATATTAAAGCATTCAGAAATCCTTATGGCTTCTTGGTATTCATTGTCTTTGTTTAGATGTTCTGAAACGTGTTCAAAAATACTTATCCCTGATACATGTATCTATATCTCCAACTTTTCCCTATGCTGAACATGGTAAATTTAATTACGGGCAACAGTGTTGTCATAAAATCTGACAGGCTGTCAGAAAATTAGAAAGAGCATCCATCAGCAAAGGTTTTTTTAAATTATTTAATGACTAAAATGTCATTATGTTAATGTAGACTGATCACCCCTATTAAGAAAGAAAAACATAATAAAATATTTAACAGTCGAGACTTGTAGACTTCACCATATTTTGTAATGATTTCTGCTAAAATGTTAGGAACATTTTCATCCCAGATGAGAGGGAACATAATAAAATACAACCATCCCTTTCCCACCTCCTGAATGCAAAGTTATATTGCATCCTACCTTACTGCATTCTACTAAAATGGCTGAGTTTTTAATTAAAGAATGCCATACAGCTCAGCCAAACATATTCATCAAGCAGTGTGTTTCTCTCAATTAATAATGCACTTTTCCTTGAGAAGTGATGGATATGTTCACAGTCTTGAATGTGGTGATGGGGTTCACAGTGTAAGCATCTGTCACAATTCATCCAATAAAAAAGTTGCCAGTACTATACCATATGGCAGGTTGATTGTACCTGCTAAGGCTATTAGTGCTCCTCAGCTAACCTATCCTGTTTTAATCATTTTAAAGGGGTTGAAATTTAATTGTAATGTCTTACAGTGGAAGTTTCATCTCCAGGGCCTTTTCCGCTCCTACCACACTGATGGTCAATGCCATCCTCTCCCAACCCCTACACCTATGACTGATGCCTACAAGGCTGGAATATATCCTAGTTCCCCTTAACTCCAAGTTTAGAATGATTCAATATCAAAGCAATCTGAAATGAAGTTCCTGTAAGAGAAACAAATACATTTAAAATGTTTCAAGTGTTCCATTTGAGATTGATGTAAGTGCTTTTAGTCTTGTAATTATTTGACTATGTATGAACCTTGTAGATACAAACCATTCCCAAAGACTCTGTACAAATCCTGAAATAGGTAAGAAGACCAAGTAGCCAGGGAAACAGGTTCCCCTCAGGCAGATGATAAACTACTAACCTCAGGGCCAAAAGGGCCATATTTGTGTCCAGAGAAGTCAGGTTGCTCAGAATAGAAGGCATAGACTGAAGGCCTACAGCAAAAAAAATTGAAAGGTTCAGAATCTCCCCAGACCACACATAACAAAGACTATCAAACAACCCTATATGAAAACCCATCAAATTTAATCTCCCATCCACTGTTATTATTACTATGGAAAACTTTTCTTTTTTTATTGCTTCCACAATCACCATCCTCTACACCACCCCAACCGTAGTAACTGCCTGGTACCACTTTCAGGAACCCAACGTCACAAGGAAAATCTGAATCGATACTCAGGCCTTTGATCCTTAAGACAACCGAGCCCAGAGATAATTCACATAGGCCACGTAATCTGCAGCCTGAAAGAAGAACGAACTCCACTCAAGTGAAAAGTCAGTCTTAATGCTTCTCAATCCTTGAGATGCTGATAGTTCATTTATCAAAGCCAGAAACTCCCTTCAATTCTGCTGTAGTAGCCAGGATTAACAGCTATACTAATCCATGTAATTAAATGGTCCCCAATAACTAAAGCCTTCTTAGGGAAATAACGCGTAAGGCTAATAACCACAAAACTTTAATAACACCAGTCCTTGGCTGGCTTCTATTTCACAGTCCCTATAGTGTTTCTTCCAACTCTAACCTAAGAAAGAAATGGACTGGAGAAAGAAGAGAGAAAGACAAAAGAGATAAATACCTCTCGCTGTCTGGCAGTGTCAGCCACTGTAGGATGGTTAATATTCTCCGCTCATGAGGGATGGAGCTGTGGGGTCATAACAAGCAAAACATGTGGTTAGGTTGCATTTCCACAAATTCAAGCTGATGAGCACTTGCTCTTGCACCCGGCCAAATGCTCTCTATTTACCACCATCTGTTTTCACTTCATTGCAGTAAAAGGCCCTCTTTGGAATTAGTGCTTAAACTTCCATTTCCATTTGCAACATGACATTGCTCAATCCCTTCCATAGAAGACTAGACTGGAAATTCTGATTCATCATCAAAATAGGAACCTGTCTTGCTGATCAGAAACTTTGCTACAGGCAGAAGGGACCCTGGCTTCAGAATCATTGTTGCTTAGTGGGTCAGCCAGTAGCTAGAACAGAAGACATCAGTATTTCCACACCCAGTCTGCCTTTCGCTGGCATAATGACCTCTGCTGACCTTCAACCCTCTCAAACTCTCTCTGCCTCAGTTTGCTCATCAGTAAAATAAAGATAACAGCAAAGCATGCCACATGGCTTGAATGAAACAAGTCAAGTAACGGACATGCATAATAGCTAGTACATAGTAAGTGCTAACAAATAATCTCATTTTATTAATGAATATAATTAGGTATATCATTCTGCCTTTAAATACCTATGACTTTAAAAACCATTACCTAACCTAAAACCTTACATTCCTCCTCTATAAAATAATAGGTTAGGGAAGTATTCTTGAAATTCTCTTCCAGCTCTATAAAAATCTATCAAGGATAGGCACATATAATTATGAGACGGACAAAAAGGGTATAATCTTCATCCACAATGACTTTTGTGTTTAAGTCTCATTCCTCTGTTAAAATATAATTACCCTAAGCCTGACTTTAAGAGCGCTCAGCTAACATAATAGTACTGCATCCTGGGCTGAGTTACAGTAGGATGCTCACAAGCTAAGCAGTATCTTGACTTATGGGGAAATTCACTCACTCTTTCTTACAAAGCAACACAACATGATTTTCTGCCCCCTCATCCAAGATTGGGCATTAGAGACATTTTCCTAAAGAATTCAAAGTAAAACACAACTTTGTGGTGAGGGAAGATTATTGCCAGACACTGGATGAGCCATTTAAACTTTTACTCTTAATAGACATGAGTAAGCAAGCTAGGACAATGATAAATGCAGCAGCCATGGTAGATTGCTAGAGCTGGCAGAGTCTCCTTTCCAACAGCCTCTCCCATTCCCCACCATCACCACCTACCCCTACTGGCTCCACCTAGCTCTCATCTCAGAAAATTCTCTCTGTTCTGGCAGTCTCTCTGTCTAGAACTATCATAGAAGACCAGAAACTCATGCCATAAAATGAGTCCTGATTTTAAAATACTCCAACGCTATTGAACAAATATGGACCTGTTTATTATATCCCATAATTGAAATAGGCATAGCAAAGCCAGATTAATCACTTATGGAATTTAATTCTTCAGCTTTAGAAATCCTTTCTATCTAAACAAAATAATTAGAATTGAATATTTTGAATTCTTTCCTAACTTAAAAAAGTCAATGCTGTAGCTTTTTCATTTTACCTGATTTCACTACCTACCTGAAAGCTGCTTTATTTTATGTGATTGGTATTAAGTCATAAATATGGACTCTAATGAACCCAATCCTAACACTAATGGAAAAATACAATGGAATATGTGTCTAAGTCAGAAGGCTCACCCTTTAACACCCTTGTTGGATGGGGTACTTGAACAGTAATAAGGAATTAAAGACACCAGCTCAGAAGCCAGAACAGCAGTACCTACTCACAAAGTAGTTGTAAGGATTAAAAGAGATAATACATGAAAAATGCTTAAAATAGTGCCAGGAGCATAGAACAGGTTTAGAAAAAATGTCAGCTTTTAGCAACATGTGCTAAAAGCACATGTTGGATTTAGAGGCTCACAGAGATGATACATTCATTCATGAAATATTTGTTAAAGACATATTATATTCAAGACATATGTATAAACATAAATAAAGATACAAGATAGTCCCATCAAAATGCTGTGATGGGACCTCTTGTAATTGCTTTAAGAAGGGTGAGGAGGGGACTGAGGGGGAGGACAATGGGGGCAATGAAAATAATGTACAATATAAGTCTAATTGGAATTGTCACTATGAATCCCCCCTGTACAATGAATATATCCTAATAAAATATTATAATTTAAAAATGCTATGACGAAGTCTCCTCCTCTTCTTAGAGAAGATAAGCAGGTGGTTATCACTTCCTGGGCAGGGGGCATTACTGTGTGTGTGTGTGTGTGTGTGTGTGTGTGTTAGGAGACTAAGATGAAGACTCTGGAGGTCTGAGTGTCCATATTATGTGTGAAATCTGGCACAACATTTAACCACTCTCTTAAATAAGGATTTAGACAAGGTCTCTAAGTTCTCTAAGAGTTCATCATAAAATAACCCCATAGATCAAAGAGACATGGTCCTTAGCCATTAGTGTTTCAAACACAATTTAGAGACAATACAATTAAATTTGACCAAAGTGTGCAAGCAGAAAGGAAATAGGGTACATGTCACTGAATAAACCATCACTGATTGAAGAAGACTTTGTTTTGAGATCAAATATATTAGGCATCATCAGAAGAAAAGGGAAAAAAATGAAAATAAAAAATCAAGGACTAGATGAAGTATTTAGTGGTAAAAGAGAAAAAAATTTGTCTTAAAATATAGAGAGAGACATCATCTAGTCAATGTTGAAAGACAATGTGAATAAGAAAATGAATACCACTTATCGCTTGTTCTGTATGTACCAAGTGCCCTTACAAGTACTTTAAACAAGTTAACTCATTCTGTCTTCATAACACCCTATGATAAAGGTACTGTAATTCCCACTAAAGATGAGAACATTGATTTGTTGAGAGAGTAAATCATTTGTCCGAGGTCAAAAATCTCTCATAAGTAGTAGAGCTAGGGTTAGACTCAATCTAAACACTCATGGAAAATGGGAATTATTGTCTTTAAATAGGAAGATGATTTTGGAATGAAATATATTATTTAAAAAGCAAGAATGTAATCCTGGGTTGCCATATAGAACCATGTTAAAAAATGGCCTTCAAAGTCTAAGTCTATGGTTTAAATCTGGTTTTAAATTTTAATTTTTTTAGAATTTACTACATGTAGATTTCCTTGTTATACACATATTATACATATCCTTAAATAACTGGAAGTAAAAGCATATTTTTTAAAGTTATAAAAAGCTTCAAAAAAGGAGCAGGGAGCAGAAAATAAATGAATCTAAGTCGTATCCAGAACAGAGATAATAGTCTGAGAAGCAAAGCAAAACTAAAGACATCTTTTGAATACACAAAAGCCACCTTCTTATAAGTGGTTTCAAATGGGTGGAGAAAATTGTCATTCAAAACCAGAACACTGGGCCTTTTCAAGGAAGCCTTGCAGCAGTTTCAGGGGGGTAGGGTGGGGACTAAGTATTAATTATGTTGTTGGCTCCTCTCCATTCCAACTCATTTGCTGGGCGAATGAGTTACAGAGTAGAAGAAATCCCTTCTATAAGCATCTGTGACAGTAAAGGGTTAAAAAATGTAATATGTAAGATTAAATTAGTAAATCAACATGTTCCTTACATTAAGCAGTGTCACTTCCAACATACCCGTGCTTATTTCTCAACTCAGAAACTTCTTTGGAAAAATACTTTTAAAGAGACACTCTGTCTTAGCTTCAAATCACCCAAACCAATTTCAATTTAAGCCTTCAAATCTGAAAAAGCTGCCTTTGTTCCTGAATCTGGAGAATATAGATGGTACCATTCTGGATTAATCTGAACCTGTGATTGCTCTCAGCACACTACTATTATAGAATACTTAGATTTTTGTTGAAGCATAACAGGCAAATATGGAAACAGCTTTAGGTGGTTTAAAAAAAAAAAAAAAGGATGGAAAGAACATCTCAGTGGGAACAAAATCGCCATGAAAGTTGAAACAGATTCCTTTACTTGCTAAGGAGCCTTAAAAATAATCAACATGTTGACAATTTTATTAAGTAAATTTCATCTTCAGGCTTATAAACATTAACTACTAATCCCCTCATTGCCCCTGAAGAAGTGAGAAGTAGTACCATTTTCTTATTAGAGAAATCCTAAAGTTCAGTAGAAAATGGAGGCTTTCCCATAGTCTCTCCTGTCTGGAACATCCAATCTCTATACCTCTCCATCAGCTCCCCAGTTGTCTAAGACTACACTAGATTTTTAAATTTGTTAACCAAAATAAATATAGCATGTTGTAATATATTTACAGAAAATGATAATGCAAGTCACAGCAAGTCTAAGAGAAATATACATTCCCTAGGTGGCAAGTTACTAAAATCCTATAAAGAAGAATAAAAAGATCTAGAATGGGTAAAATAAGAGAAAAATCTTCCTTACTTAAAGAATGGGGAAAAAGGAAAGATAGAGGAGGAAGAGGTAGAAAGAGGGACAGAGAAAAGGCCTTAGAAAAAAATACCTGGAAAGTTATTCGGAGTCAGCAAATACTCCAAAGATTGATATTTTTACATCTAACTGAAACAAAATCAACACTGAATTGGTGTTTCATAAATTATCATAGCTTTAATTTTATAAACATTGACAAAACAAAGGTAACTTACACAGACCAAAAGAATGTTCCAGCTCTCACCCCTTGCTTGGTGGCTGTAATCCATAGCTAATGAGGAAAACATAAGAGGCTTATAATATGTTCTGAGTTGTGGTCAAAGAAGAAAAAGGTTTTAAAATGTATTAGATCTGATATTTTATACTCTACTCACACCCCACCATAAATTTTGCATTATTTGCAACCATTTTTTTTTCACATCTGGAAGTCAGAATCATTGTTTCCATAAATGTTATTCAATACATTCTCTGCAAAAGCTCTCAAAACTTCTGCTACAATTCTAGTGACGTTTTTTTAAATTCTGATTTCATCTCAAAAGTCTCTCTCTTCTGTACCTGTCTTTTCTGATAATTGCTTTGAACATTTCACTCAGATGGCAGAATTCTGCTCATCAAAGGACCCATGAGTGGACCATATGTTTCCTTCAATATTGAAAGCCTTACCAAGGAGAGCCTCAATTTGGCACCCAGATGTCAGAATCCTGGAACCTAGCTCGTCTTGTTTGACTTTAAACTAGATGTGAGAAGAAGAAAAAAGGCTAATGTTTAATCTGGATTTTGCCTGTATCTTTTATCTAGCTTTTTAGTAAATGGGATTTTAGGGAAAAGATCCTACAATAAGTTAGGTGAACTAATCATTCATTAGGGCTTTTAAATATCATGGATTTATAGCTCATGCTGTTGTGAGATAAAAGAGGCTGTAATCAGGCAGCCTGGATTTTAAAACGCTTCTGTCACTTACCAACCATGTGGTCTTCTAGCAAGTTACTCTGATATTAGCATAAATTAATTGCATAAAAGGGTCTTGTCATATTTCCATACATGCATATAATGTACTTTGATCAAATTCACCCCCTCTTTCTTAACCCACCTCCATCCTTCCCCATCTTTTTTTTTCTCCCCCACCTTTTAAACAGTCTTTGTAGTTAGCATCTCTGGAGTTCAGTTTCCTATAAAATCCAGAAAACATTTTCTAGTGCATAAGATTATTCTATACTCTAATGAGTAAACACATTTTAAATCCTTAAACCAGCATTTTAGCATTTGGTAAATACTCAATTTCAGTCTTTATTATTATATAACAATGGAAATAAATTGAATCCAGTTATTCTAAGAACATTAAAAGCTGCTTAGGGTAGCAACTGTCCCAATGAATGGAAGTCTGTGAGAAGAAATCCTCTTACTTGAAGAGAATAGAAGCTAATGAGGGAGAACTATAGTTTGTTATGACATCAAAAAAAAAATCTAGGAATTATAGCCTGTCCATTTTCTGGTTTCTTTGCATCTAGACTTCAGAGGTATTTTATAACTCTAGTAAAAACCTTTAACTTCTGTAGAAATACATAGCTGGAAGGTATATGGAATTCAGGAGTTTGGTCATGGTTTGGGAAACTCTAAAAAGATCCAAGATCCCCTTGGAGCAGCTAGAAATCCCCATCTTAAAAATCATAGTTTCTGTAGCTGACAAGTGGGGGATAGGGTGGGACATCACAGATCACCTCTCAGATCCATGGGGCTCTGAGCTGCTGGTGGGTTTCATCAGCATGGGAGCATGGGAGAGGTGGGGTCCTCCCCCATTCCCATGGCTACCGTTTGACCTAGACCTGTGGTTCTCCAGGATGACTCAGAGAAACAGGAATCTCAGATTGCTCTGAGTGCCTCCCATAGATTTGGTCCATAGTATCTTTCCACTTTGTGGACAAGCTCTGGCATACACAACCAGGATTCAAAACATTTCATTCATTCTTGTCCTAGCACTACCATTAGCAAGAAGATGAACTCAAACTAAATGCTGGCCACCCTACAGGTGCTTCAAAACTATGCCAGTTCATATAGAGGTCAGTTTCTTATACTATGGGATCTATTTTTATACTTACTTTAATTTCACTGACACAAGCTTAGTATATTCATATCCAAACAACTTCCTAGAAAAACTAGTGCCTTGCTAGTTCCAAGGATATTGTACCAAGCAATATTTGACATACATGAAATATAAGAGCAATCTGGTATTTTCTAAAGGAAAAAAATTTTAATGCAAATTTTTCAAATGATGACCCTACACTTTCCAAAATTGTATTGTAGAATACATTCTGGTGTTGGCATTATCTGGGCAACAGGAAGTCCTAGAAACAGCTTTTCATTCAGGTAACCTCCAGGACACCAGAAATCTTTGTAGTATTAAAAGGATATATGTGAAGAGTGAAGATGACAAAGTGAGGATGTCACAATGATTCTGATGGCCCTCACCAAAGAAAATCATGAATGAGGAAGCAGAAGGAAGGATTGAAACCCTTGATTGGGCTGGTCAACAAAGCACCCCCAGTTTCCTGGCCTGGCCCAACTCCTTCTTGCCTCAGGTAGCTAACCTGACCAAGATTGGTCACCATTTGGCTGTGGTTTGACGCCTTTCCCTCAGCAGTCTGTCTTTATATGCTACACTTTGATTACACTCCCTTCCTTGTCCTCCCATCCCAGAATACTCCTGAGTGAAATGTCTAATACGTGATATTAAAGCATTTGTAATAAATCATTTATGCTGATAAAAACTTATTCTGATGCCAAAACTCAGAGTCACTTGTTCTTTATACTTTTCTGTACTTTCCAAAAATTTTACTGTGACACATTTTCATAATCAGAAAATAAAACTAAAAGATGTGAACAATGAAGACTATTTAGAGGTTAAGAAGTATCTTTCTTGCCAGGCATGGTGGCTCATGCCTGTAATCCCAGCACTAGGGAGGCTGAGGCAGGAGGATCACGAGTTCAAGGCCAGCCTGGGCTATCTTGAAATACTTAGAGAGACCCTATCTCAAAAAAAAAAGAACAAAAGTGTCTTTCTTCTGAAAAAAGCAGGAAAATTCTCCCTGCTTCTTGGTAAATATCATTCTGACTATATATCCTAAAAGAAAATAGGGGGGATTTGTCAGAAGAGGACAAGAAATGAATGAACAAATAATAGAGAACACCTGAAATTTAAAAAACACATTTTAAAATCTCAAACAAAAGAATCCTAGCATTCTTGAGACAGCTGATCTGTCAAGGTTCAGCAAATGATGCAAGATTAAAACACAAAGAAAGTTTATCCACCATGCCCTGTGCTGCTGTAAAGGTTTCTTTACAGATCACACATGTGTATGCTACATGTTAGGGCTCAGAAGTTCAGTGAAGAAGTCACCAAGAGAAAAAAGGCACTAAAATGGTGCAAAAGAATAAAACTGAAAACAGCCATACAGAGCTATAAAAAAAGAAAGAAGCTTCCTGGCTCCTTATTATTTCAAAGAAATGTGAGTTATGATTTCTCTGAACTTGAATGCAAGTATCAATTTCCTCACAGATTGTTTAAAAAAAAAAACTAAAAAATAAGCTAAGAAAACACAGAGTTTGGGCTTCCTGCCTTTAATCCCAGTAATTCTCCCATTGCTCTTTTTTTATCTGGGGGCCCAACTTTCAACATCTGTGCCCTAGATGTCACAGTTTGAAATGCCAAAAATGGGAATCATATTGTATCTTCTTTTTATGTTACCAGGAATATATTGAGCTTCCCTATGGAACCAGGGATTTCAATGTGAAATTAGGTGTCTTTTAAAATTAAATAATGTATTAGGTATGGGACAAGAACAGAAGCTTTGAAAAAGAAAATAGGCAAAAAATATTTTTAAAAAACATATATTGCTATTTTAGTCATTTTAACAGTTCTTTGCAAAGAAATTTTCCTTTGCATTCAAAATCACAGAATTCTGAGAGACCAGAGGGGTCCCAACATCGCAGAAGCAAATGGGTGACTGAGGGTCAGGAGACACTAAGGACTCCAGAGTTAGGGTGCAGCAGAACATACCATGGACCGTTGTGCTGCTGTGCAGGTGCTTATAGCCAGGGCAGGTGAGTGATAGACCCATGGCCATGGAGATGCCAAGACTAAGATGTTCTTAAGGATGATCTACCCTAGGGGAAGCACAGGTAAAACCCGGCCTCAGAAGAAAGTGTAGCGCAGCTCAACCCAAAACCAAGTAGTGGAGCATCTAAATGTACCAGGCTCTGGGTTAGGTATTCAGATTAGAGATAAATAAGTCAGTCCCTATCCCCACAGGACCCACAGGATAAAGGAGACATGTAAATACCCAGTGTCAAAGGGAGGTGATCAGATAGATGTATGGTAGAAAAAAATATATATGAACAACAAAAGGTTCAGTTAGCTGAGGCAGGGCAGAAAGAGCTTTGGGAAGGCTTCTGGGAACACATACTTCAACTGAATTTGGAAGATAATTGACTAGCAGGCAAAGAAACTCATCTCAACAAAGTACCTTAAGGCTTGCAAGAGAGCTGAGCTCATCCTAAATGCATTAAGATAGAGGACAAAGAGGGCTGGGGGTGTGGCTCAGTGCTAGAACACATGCTCAGCCTGCACCCTCCACCACCACCACCCTGACCTGGGTTCAATCTCCAGAAACAGCAGCAAAAACAGAAAAGATACAGAACAAAGAGAAAAACAACTATGGATCTCTAGTAGTATATGGCAAAAGCAACAGACTAAAGAAAAGGCAAAATTTTCCTGAACAGAAAGCAAAGCCTCCCCCACCAGGATAATAAAGCCCTTAGGCTTGGAACTTCACCCCACTCTGTCAATCTTCCTCTCTTTGCGGTCTCTGTCATGAACATGCCATCTTCTTCCATTTTGACACTGTGGTTAATTCACTAGGATGTCATTGCCCACCATTAGAGACAGGAAGCAATTCCAGGCCAAGCAACTTAAGAAATGACAATGACACCTCTCTCTGTTTTTCTTAAAGACACCCAGGAACTTAGACTTTGGAGGACTTGAATCATGATGGGGAATTAGACTTTTTGCTCAATTCTCTACATTTTGTCAGTCCTTTGGAGTGCCATTCTTTACAGGGCTGACAGTTCAGACTTAAAATGAACAGGGAACCAACCACTCTACTGAATTTTCCATCTGAAATTGCAGAACTAAAACTAGTAATAACAATATTTCTTTTTTATTATCTTCTATGTTTTCTCTTCAACAAAATCGAAGAACAAGAGGAACAGGTTCTG